TATATATATATATATTTATATATATATATATACCTGCATATATGTATATATATACACACACACACATTTATATATATATTTATATATCATACATATACTATACATACACACACACCGATAAATGCACAATCTGAGAATATTCAGTAATATAACCTTCAAGGTCAAGGTCATTAAAGAGCCCAAGCAAATTTGGGTTTGATAAACAACAAGGTCTGGTCCTTAAGAATGTTATAATATGAAGTTTATCCCTTCAAAAATAGCAAAGTTACAGTCAGTTACTGCCAAAACAATGAAAATTTCAATAATTTGACCTTCAAAGGCAATGTCATTAATGAGTGAAGGTCAAGGTCTTTCGGTATATTTTTAACAGTTATCTTTGAAGATTATTATGTTCAAGTTTGAAGACAATCCATTCAAAAATAACAAAGTTACAGCCAATAATAGCCAAAAAAATGAAAATTTCAATAATTTGACCTTCAAAGTCAAGGTCATTGATGAGTGAATGTCAAGGTCTGACTGGTTATTTTTAAGGGATATCCTTGAAGATTATTATGTTCAAGTTTGAAGACAATCCATTCAAAAATAACAAAGTAACAGCCAATAACAGCATGAACAAGCAAAAATTGGACTTTTAACCTTGAAGGTCAAGGTCATTTATGGATGAAGGTCAAGGTTAGTGTGGTCTACTGAAAGGTCTTGTCCCAAGGGTTGTTGTGGCCAAGTATGAAGACAATACACCAAGAAATAAAAAAGTTATGATCCAGGTACAAGTTTTCGGACGGCAACGGCAACGGCAACGGCAACGGAGACGGCAACGGCAACGGCAACGGCAACGGCAACGCCGACCTGACTATAACAATACCTCTACTTTTTTTTTCAAAAAAAAAAAAGTCGAGCTAACAAAGTCAGTCTAAAAAAAGAACCTTTGGGTATAGCTGCATACAAAGATAATATTTTAATATCATACCACAATAACCCAGGAAATGGTGCTATAGAGATTCGGCACAAAAGTGGGAAAGTTTTACGTGACATCACTGTTGATGACAAAGGTGAAGAGCTCTTTAACACCCCTTTCTACATTGATGTGAATCAACAGAATGGTGATATTTATGTTACCGATAGCAGAAGAAACAGAGTGACCTGTTTATCATTTGAAGGTAAAGTTTTGTACAAAATAGAAAGCCCTGAATTCAGAATGCTGAGGAAAATTATCCACGATGATCAGGGAAACTTTTTACTGTGTGCAAGCCTAGTAAATAAATTACTCCTGGTGAAAAAGGGTCTATCAACATCTGATGTTTTACCAGTAGAGATGAAGGCAAATGATACTAGTAAAGTGTTTCTGGCAGCATGTACTCGTCCCCAGACTGTGTCCATAAGGAGGGAGGATCAAACAATGATTGTTGGCATAAACTGTTCAAATATGATGTTAGTATTTAAATCATCAGAATAAGTTGGAAACATAATCTTGTAATGCGTATGAGCACATTAGGTTACCTACGTTAGAAAAAGCTTGTAACTTAAGGCCAGAATTTGTTGACCTCTCTGATGAAGATAAAATTGTATTTATTCCCTCCAACAATGATATTGTTAAATTCACAGCCAAAACCTGTTAAAATATTCTTCAACTCCGCTATAATATATTGTACAAGTAAGGATTTTCAGACCACTTAGTGTTTTAGTTTTTTTTTAATTAATTTTAATATATAGAGGATATTGAATTAGTGTAGTTTAATACTAAATTTATTGAACAAGTTGAATAAAATCATATTATGCAAGCCTCTGGCGAGCAAAATATTGTTTTATTCAACGAGTTCAATGAATTTAGTATTAAATCTACACAAACATAATATTCTTTTTATCACATATATAAAATAAGAACTGTAAACTGTTAAAATGAGTAAATTTTCATTGACGCGCCTACAGAGTAACGCTAACATTAGCGTGCTTTAACACTTTGTTTATATATAACGCAAATGATGTCAAGTCAAAGTGTTATTACACTAGTGTAATATCGTTTTTATTAAATGGCTTTATTACACTCCTGCGCCACGGTTTATGTGATAAAGTCTTTTAACAGTTTTTAGATGATCTGGTGCTTATAGTACATGATAGTAAATTTTATTGTACAAATGTAACATATCTTTTTAAACATGATAAGTTGTTTTATCAAATAACGTATAGAATATCACTACTCACCAGTCATCCATGGTCTGACCATGGGCGATATATTTAATTAATTTGCGTAATAGTGCCACATTTTACAATACTCAAGAGATTTATTATCAAAATATCTTATGGCATTTCTATTTTCAAATTGACTGTCAGTGGGGGTAATCTAACTTTTATGATATAAAATGTTCTTATAATGTTGCATTACTGTTGTCAGTAGGAACTAACTATTGATTGTATACGTATAATGATATTACTAATATACAGTCTCTTATAATTCTATTGTAGAATGGTCATATGTACATTTTTATCAATTTTTAAAAGTTTTATGTATATATGTATGCATATGTAAGAGACTGAAATAAACAAATAAAAATATAAAAGAATTTATAACATCTTATATACTGTATAGATTACTTTGAACTTTTTCTGTTTGGTTTTATGTCACACCAACACTTTAAAGGTCTCAAGGTGACTTTCAATTTGTATGGGAACATTATTTCAGGCATGGAAAAGAGGCAGACATCTTAACCACAAGGTCACTGCTCCTCTTGGCTAAAATCTTGTTTTCTTTGAATGAAGTCTTGCTGAAATTATTTCTTTCTGAACTAAATTCACATACTGTGTTTTAAATGGCCATTTCAATACCAGAAATGTGTTGTCATGCCACGGATGCCCCCGCATGCAGATGTTATAATATTTAGTTCCAAATTTTTTGCACAAACTATTTTTTTCATTTTAAGTTCAAGCCCTTAAAACTATTCAATGTAAACACAAACCATTTCTATACAAAGTTCAAGGCACTGAAACTATTCAGTGTTAACCTTTTGTAAATTGCATATTGCATATTTGTAGCCAAAATACTTACTACATACATTTCCACAAAAGTATGAGTGCTGAAACAAAATATTCAAATTTTTTCCAACATTCAAGAGAGATAACTTTGTCCAAAATAATTGAACCATGACCAAATTCAAACTTGAACTGCTTATTCCTAAGATGTATGTATATGTCAAATTTGAGTTGAATATGTACAACCATTTGGGAGATAATGAACGGAAACTAAAAATTTCTGATTTTTTTTTTAAAGTTCAAGAGGGATTTCTCTGTCAGCTATCATCAAACCATGACCATATTCAAACTTGACCAGTGTATGAGATAATGAACGGAAACTGAAAATTTCATTTTTTTTAAAGTGAAAGGGGCATAACTCCACCATAAATCAACGAATCATGACCAAATTCGAACTTGACCTGCACATTTGTTTGACATATCCACATGTCAAATTTGAGTAGAATATGTAATACTGTTGGGGAGATAATGAACGGAAACTGAAAATTTCATATTATTTTCAAAGTGAAATGGGCGTAACTTAACTTGCACATTCCTTTGCCATATTCATATGTCAAATTTATGTTGAAATCAAGGGGCAAAAATCATCGGACCATGACCAAATTCAAACTTGACCTGTATTTTCTCATGATATATCCATATCTTAAATTTGAGTTGAATGTGTGCAATGGTTACTAAGACAATGAACCGAAACTGATGATGACGGAATGACCGAAGGACTGAATGACGGAACAGGGGCATAATAAATGCATACCAAAGACAGCAAAATTAAGCAGAAATTTTGTTTTGTTTTTGTTTGGATTTACAGAGCACTAACACAGTTTTGGAAATATGACTTAAAACAGGAATGATGATTTTGGCTAAGTTCCGGTGTTACAATCTTAAAGGCAAAACCAATTCATCTGCTAAAGCTAAGACCCATTTAGTCACAGCTTATATGCAGAGTTAAACGGTGGCTTCAATTCTATGACGCAACTCCTTTGCCACTTTTTGAGAACATGCAAGTAAAGTCACAACAACACAGTAATGGCTGTATGGAAGGAAGACAGTGAAGTTTGATTACCTTAATACATAGAAAATTGTGTTTGAACTACAGACCTTCTAAAGTTCTAGGGCAGTATTAAAAAAAACTCCTGGGAAAAAGGAGCTTTCTGAATACAGCCTCTGAAGGCTAGCTGGACAGCATTCTGCCATTCTCTGACTTTTTCTGAATACACTGGCAAAGGCCAAATGATTCAAAGTATGCCATCTTGACCATTCCATCAAGAAGACACCTTTGAAAATATTAATTTTTGCTGAATCAGTCTGAACGAAAATTGAATTGATTGCATGGAGATTGGTATGTTCAGGCCAGGATATACCCCACACAGAACCAGTGTCAGGAATATTATAAACTTTATAGTTTGACAAAAGAAATTTTGACCACAAGTAAAGATACAGAATGCAAGTTCAAAGGTCCTATTTAACTTAATGCTAAGAAAAGCATATCATTTAAACACTATTTATACTCTATTAAATTAAAACCATGAAAACAAGTGATAGACTTATAAATCTTTATTTTGGCATAACTGGACAAGAAACATCAGACCAAATGAATGATTATATGATAAATATAACTAACACTAGAAATAAGACACATACATGTTAAAACCATTAAGTCTGGTGTAGTCCGAGCCATTATGCCTCCTTTCTTGGTATTGGCCTGATCCCCAAGAGAACATGGATGATAGTAAAGCGTTTGCAACCATCCTATGTTTATGTCCAAGACTATTCTTTTTTAAAGTGATTTACCTAATTATGAAAAGTCACAACTGCAAAGCAGTGTAATGTAATTTGAATACACCTCAGGCCAGAATTTAGAGAACATAGGTTCTTACCTGACAGGTCTATTTAAAATATACAGTAGGTTTAGAATGAATATGGAGCAGCTGTGAGTAACATGAAAATACATGTTCCCTAACAAAGTAGGCACTTACGTTTGTTTGTTGAATTCTTCCTTTTGCTGTGATATCTGTCGTCTGTAATAAAAAATAAATAACAACATTATTCTATGTTTCACACATTCTTAGGTATTATTTTGTATATTTCTTAATGTAAATATCACTGTAAAGAAATGTTTGAGCAGTTTGAGAATCTATCTTTTCTTTATGTAAATATCACTGTAAAGAAATGTTTGAGCAGTTTGAGAATCTATCTTTTCTTAATGTAAATATCACTGTAAAGAAATGTTTGAGAAATTTTAGAATCTATCTTTTCTTAATGAAAATATCACTGTAAAGAAATGTTTGAGCAGTTTGAGAATCTATCTTTTCTTTATGTAAATATCACTGTAAAGAAATGTTTGAGTAGTTTTAGTATCTATCTTTTCTTAATGTAAATATCACTGTAAAGAAATGTTTGAGCAGTTTTAGTATCTATCTTTTTTATGTAAATATCACTGTAAAGAAATGTTTAAACAGTTTGAGAATCTACCTTTCTTTATGTAAATATCACTGTAAAGAAATGTTTGAGAAATTTTAGAATCTATCTTTTCTCAATGTAAATATCACTGTAAAGAAATGTTTGAGCAATTTGAGAATCTATCTTTTCTTTATGTAAATATCACTGTAAAGAAATGTTTGAGCAGTTTGAGAATCTATCTTTTCTTAATGTAAATATCACTGTAAAGAAATGTTTGAGCAGTTTGAGAATCTATCTTTTCTTTATGTAAATATCACTGTAAAGAAATGTTTGAGCAGTTTGAGAATCTATCCTTTCTAAATGTAAATATCACTGTAAAGAAATGTTTGAGAAATTTTAGAATCTATCTTTTCTTAATGTAAATATCACTGTAAAGAAATGTTTGAGAAATTTTAGAATCTATCTTTTCTTAATGTAAATATCACTGTAAAGAAATGTTTGAGCAGTTTGAGAATCTATCTTTTCTTAATGTAAATATCACTGTAAAGAAATGTTTGAGCAGTTTGAGAATCTATCTTTTCTTTATGTACATATCACTGTAAAGAAATGTTTGAGCAGTTTGAGAATCTATCTTTTCTTATGTAAATATCACTGTAAAGAAATGTTTGAGCAGTTTTAGTATCTATCTTTTTTTAATGTAAATATCACTGTAAAGAAATGTTTAAGAAATTTTAGAATCTATCTTTTCTTAATGTAAATATCAATGTAAAGAAATGTTTGAGCAGTTTTAGTATCTATCTTTTCTTAATGTAAATATCACTGTAAAGAAATGTTTGAGCAGTTTGAGAATCTATCTTTTCTTTATGTAAATATCACTGTAAAGAAATGTTTGAGCAGTTTGACAATCTATCTTTTCTTATGTAAATATCACTGTAAAGAAATGTTTGAGCAGTTTTAGTATCTATCTTTTTTATATGTAAATATCACTGTAAAGAAATGTTTGAGCAGTTTTAGTATCTATCTTTTCTTTATGTAAATATCACTGTAAAGAAATGTTTGAGCAGTTTGAGAATCTATCTTTTCTTAATGTTAATATCACTGTAAAGAAATGTTTCAGCAGTTTGAGAATCTATCTTTTCTTAATGTAAATATCACTGTAAAGAAATGTTTGAGCAGTTTGAGAATCTATCTTTTCTTAATGTTAATATCACTGTAAAGAAATGTTTGAGCAGTTTGAGAATCTATCTTTTCTTAATGTAAATATCACTGTAAAGAAATGTTTGGGCAGTTTTAGAATCTATCTGCTCTATATGTTTTGCTTTATTTGTTTCAATTTGGTCAGTAAACTTTAATTCTTATTGAATTCAACTGTAACATGGATCACCAAAAGCCTAACACAAACCCTAACCTCAATGTTATTGCCTGTGATGTTAAGACAGAAAACGATAGTTATCAAGAAGTGTTGAGAGATAGCTAGTCTAGCTGTGATATCATATGACAGAGACTACGTTAACACTTAACCTGCTGGAACCAAAACTAATTAGCCTTTGCCGTTACTTTGGAGTCATATAGCCTGACAAGGCTTTATTTCGTTTATAGCCCAATATTTCATACTGAAATCTCAAAAGTTTTGAATGAACTGATCCAAATTTAAAGCCAGGCAAATCCATTAAACAAATTAAGGGTAAATATTATTACTATAAGCTTTATCCTTTTTATATAGATCCTATGATTCTTTGGTTGGGCTTTATGTTGCACTAACACAATAAATAGGTCATATATAGTAACTTACGATTTCCAGTTTTACAGGGGTAGAATGACCTTAGGTGCTCTTTCAACCATTTTTTCAGGCAAATGCTGGCACCTTAGTAGGAACCACTGACCATCTGTAAACTAGCAGAATAGCTTCCAGATACAAAACTATCAAAAGTCCTTGGCTGGATTCAACCTAACAGCAACAAGGGCCAATTGATTTAATTGACATTCATCGGTCCAAGGCAAGTTGGAGATAGAAAATATTGCAACACTCAAGCTCTTCTATGCCAAAAAGAAGATTATAAAGCACTCGCCCCACAAATCCTGGAAAACAAGCCCCCTTAACAATAAATTTTGGAACATTATCCAAAAATTTTCAAAGGCTTCAAAAAGCATTACAGCTTTGAAATCAAAGAGCCTAAAACATCATTTGAAATTTTCACAGTTATCAAGTGAAGCACTTAAAATAGAAAAATCTTCAAAACATCGTAAAGAAATATACTCAGAATTAGATTGAAACACCAATGTCTGTGCAATTCTTAGGTAGATTTTAGTGAAAAGCATTTTGGGTCATTTTACACATGAGTAAAGTCACTTACTGTAATTTTGCTACTTCAATTCCTGCCTTTGTTACGTCTGCCCTACAAATACAATACGTTTAAACATTAATAAAATAATTTCCATCGTTAAGTTGCTTGAATAATAAAAATTTTCTTTAAAACCATAATGCATTGTACTTACTAAAATTACTTCTTTTTTTAACACAAATCAATGAAATCATATAAACATAATTTTGTTTGTTTGTTTGATTGGATTTTACATCACAGTATAGGTCATATGGCGATGTTCCAGCTTTACTGGAGGAGGAAGACCTCAGATGCCCTTCCATGCGTTATTTCAGACACAAACAAGCACCTGAGTAGAACCACCTGTGGATAGCTCCCTCACATGAAAGAATCCAAAGTCCCTGTTGGGATTCGAACCCACATGGGTGGGGGACAAATCATAGTGTGTCAGTGAAAAGAAATAATGGTTGCAAAAAATATTCACAACTTTAAATCAGGCTTCGCAAAAGTTGCCGGACCGTCGGACATGTCCGGCAAAACTCTGGCCGGTCCGATATTTTTTTTCCAAGTTCCGGACCTTATGTCCGGTACTAATACTGGAATATATCCAAGACCGATCAAGACCAAGTTTTCTCCCTTGAATAAAAAAATGTAAAACAAGTTTTATTTCGCTGTTTCATTATAAGTGTCCAATCAAATTATAGATACATACGACTTTCAATGACCTTGTACTCGGGAGAAAATGTTGGTGTTACTGCATTATTACGATGGCGCTACGCCAGGCAAAAAACGTAAATTATCTAATGAAGAAAAAAAAGCGAAACAAAAGGAATACGAGTCCAGGCGCCCGCGGAGAAAATTTGTGGGTAAATGGAAAAATGGCCGCTCGTGTTTGGTTTTCAACGAGGAAGAAAATAAGATGAAATGTACATTGTGTCATAAATTTTATAAAGATCGTACAATGGACTATAGACTCCTGTCTAAAAATACATTCATACTGGGTTGTGGCAATTTAAAAATACATATATTTGGGAAAAAAATTTGGTCTGACAAAAGTTCTTTCGGTCAGACAAGAATTGAAAGTTTGTCTGACCGAATGTCAGGCAAATTTTTCACTAGTTTTGCGAAGCCTGTTAAATGTTTCGAATTGCTTTAATTCACTTCACAAATTTAACCCAGAAATCAGGTCCAAGAATCATTAATTAATCTTCCAGTCTGAATTTCAGGATGTGCTAAGAAAGAGAGTCAGAAAGTTAGTGGACTTAAAAAAAGGTTTACAAATTAAACAATATTTAAATACAAAATTCTATAAATGTATCAAGCATATTAAATTTTCACTAATGCGCCTAGTAAACTCTTTTGAGGGTCATTTATAACTTTAACAGGTTTTTTTGTCAGTACTGAGCCACCATAGTCTGCACACATGTACAATTATACAATTATGTTTTATATTCTAACTTAAATACCAGTGAATTTTACAGTGGACTATCTCAAATTTGATGTAAAGCAAGACCATTACAGAATTTCAGTGGCCTGAAAGTGGAAGGGATGGTGCCAAGGGGGTTATAAGTTTAAAATATGCTCACTTTGCTTTATGTAAATCCTCTGTAATACTGATCACCTGCTTTCTCAATTCTTCCTTCTCCTGACTGCAAACAAAAACATCAAACATATGACAGTAAATGGATTAATATCCCTAACCTCTTATAACTGGGAAAAAACGTCCAAACAAGGTAAATACATGTACAACCTAACATCAGTCAATGAATGAAGAAACTCTAAATGAAAACACTCTGAGGAAAGCTAAATAAATCTGACAGAATGAGGACATAAGGACAACCTAAAGACTTCTGGTGAGCATGAAAATATACTTAATTGGTATTTAAAAAGAAAGGCCAAGCTTTTTCATAATACATGTAATTCCTTTTCCATATCAGATCATTTTCAGAAATTGATGCAAATAGAAAGGTAAAAAAGTATAATATATTGCATATCAGCGTGACCACTGTTCCCAATGACAACATAACGACTACACAGAAACTTTAATGAGTAAAAAACAACAACAAACAAACTTACATGAGCCGTTTATGCTCTTCAGGATCTGTTTTGTGCGATTGTTCTATAAGCTGATTGGTTCTGTTACGCCATCTCTCCACCTCGGATAATATCGACTTTTTATCTATAGCCAGGGCATCTCGCTGGGATTGTAGTTCACGGATTTCTGTTTGTAGAGGTCGGATCGTTTCCTCAAGTTTTGATAGCTGTTATCATTATAAAACATCAATATTATTTAATGGAATTATATTAAACTATTTATTCACACATAGAATGTTTTATATCAACTACATGAATGTTTGGTGGGGGTATAACCATGTATTTCTACATTGTAGATGGTTAACTATGTGTAAATAAATTTTATCATTGCGGTTTGTCCTTTAAGGCATATTTCTCAATTCAAATGTTATCACTTCCAAAAAATAGTTAAAAGTTACATGACGACTTTATACTTGAATTACTTTTCACTGCCCTGTGTTGCGTAGAACGGCTGACATCATTTTATGTACACCTGAACTTTTCTTTAAATATCAATTTGTGTTACTATAAACTGGCTATACATAAAGTGACTGGATATACAGGAGAATATAGCCTGGCTGATAAAAATATAACCCTCCACTAGTGTCGCAAGTTATATCTATCTCATTCAGGCTATATTCTGCATAAGCATCCCATAAGCATCTTTTAATTCAATCCCATAAGCATCTTTTAATGCAATAACTTGTTATTCAGTAAATACTGTAATTAATAATATATATATTACCTTAGCCTCGGCCTGGGAAAGTTGAGACTGTGCATGATCCCTTTCTTCTCTCAGTAGTTTATTACTATCATGTAACAGGTTGTATGACTCTACTCTGTGCATCAACTCAGCATGTTGCGCTGCAGTTTGTGTCTCGGCCTGAAATCATAGTGGCAAATAAAAATTTACTAAAAGTTCATTCAAAATGAATTTTTATTCCAGATATTAGATAATGAATGGTTTAAATTTACAGTCTTAGTTTCGTAAACTACACATAATCGAGTGTGTTCAAAGTATATCTGATCCTACACAGATGGCTGTTTTGTCAGTTCATGGATAAATAGCAGGACAGCAGATGGACATATGAGCAAAATGGAACAAGATGCCATTTCTCTTGTTGTTTCCCATTTGCTCCTTATTCTATTGTTACATAATAACAAACTCTATTTTTTTATTTCTTCTATTTACAGTTTGATGCCCCCCCCCCTATTTATTTTCAGTCGTAGAGATAGACAAGGGCAAGTCTATATGGGGGCATTAACATAGTGCTGTTTATAGATGGTTTGGTTTGACAATCTTAAAGTAAAATGGCAACTTTCAAAGTATATTAGCGCAAAAAATGAAATTCTGTATGGCAAATAGAAACTTTACTCTAGAAATGATTCCCAGAGACCGAGTCACTTTAACAGCTATAGCATAAGATTACCTGTCTCTGTTCCCTCTCCTCTGACAACTGAGTGTTCACAGATTCGAGCTGTTTCTCTAGATTGTCACATCGTTGTTTCAGTCTGGAACACTCTGTCTCTACAACATCTAACTTGCCCTCGGCTATATCCTTTTCCTTTCTTAAATATCTGTGAACCAGACAATAATAACACAACAGTTATTTGTCTTCCTTATTCTTTCAAATTATCATTTTCTATCTAATTCCTTCAAATTATCATTTTCTATCTAATTCTTTCAAATTATCATTGTCTACCTAATTCCTTCAAATTATCATTTTCTATCTAATTCTTTCAAATTATCATTGTCTACCTAATTCCTTCAAATTATCATTTGTACCAAATGTCTTCAAATTATCATTTTCTATCTAATTCCTTCAAATTAACATTTAATTCCTTATTCTTTCAAATTATCATTTTCTATTTTATTCCTTCAAATTATCAATTTCTTTCTAATCCTTCAAATTATCATTTCCATCTAATTCCTTCAAATTATCATTTTCTATCTACTTCCTTCATATTATCATTTTCTATCTTATTCCTTCAAATTATCATTTTGATTTTCCAAATTACAAATAAATACAAAAACTTTTTTTTCAGTGAGCAGAATTAAATGTTTTAAGTAAAAGTATTTTTTTCCAATGGCAGACCTGGTGAAAAAATGATTTTTTATATAATAGAAAGAAAATAATAAGCATTTCTGTGAATATTTAATACACATGTAGTATGCATGAATCTTTTATGAAGCAAGAATTATACACTTTATTAACAGTTTGATACAAGGGGAACTCTATTCCAAAATTTATAACAAACTAGGGATAGAAATAATTATCCGCAAGACAAGACTGGATTATCTCCCATACCTTACAACTTCAAGAAGTTGTTCCGAGGATTTTGAGCTATCATCCTGGGCTTGAGTTGCCCCTCCATACTTCCTGGGTGTGGCAGCCGCTCTCTCCTGAACTGAAACCACCTGGTTACTCAACTAAAAATGAAAATAGTATCCTGGTTACATAATGAGGAAAATTAAAACAAAAATAAAATCAATAAAAATTATCCCATGATAAAATTCGTAATTATTTTACCTTACCAATGCTTTTTAAGATAATGAGATTTTCCCTAAGGATTTCTGTTATGTCACTCCCAAATTCTTTAACTGACATTATGCTCATTTTTTCACTCATTTTTTAAAATATTTAAACAAAAAAAGTGACAAAATATAAAATTTGTTTAGAATATCACCTTCACAGTCAACATTTACTCATGAATGAGCATAATGTCACTTTAACATCAGAACATAGTAATTTTGAAAAATAAATTTACAATTCAAGCATATCCTTCATTTAATACTATGTATAGCAAAAAAAGGCAATATTATGATAAAATGACCTTGTTCATTTGTTGATGAAGGGCCTGTGTTTCCTGCACCAAATCCTTCACCCTGGCAGCCATTTTGTCTCTCTCCTCCTTCAACATCTTCTCCCTCTCTTCTGATGATGTCTGACAAAAATATAAAACTTATTTTATCTAGAGTAGTAGCTATGGGAGATTGGCCAATTTTTTGGAATTCAGATGTTCAAGTATTTAGAGGATAACTTTCAATGAATTTAGTAGGAAAATATATGCGAATTTTAAAACAGTCCAGTTTTCAGAGGATTCCAGTTTTCAGAGGGTCTGGTTTTCAGAGTTTTACTGTATATTAAATTTATAACAAGAATTAAACCTTAAGTCTCAAGCTCTAACTGAATGAATTTCTTTAAAGCTATACACATGCCTCCAGATGAGCAAAAATATTTTTTTTTTTAAAAAGTCATCCTTGAGAAAATGTTCTAAGATTGACAAAAATGTTCATAGATTTTAAGAAAAGTAAAAATATTCACAATGCAATAAATAAAACACATGTTATATACAGCCAATGACTATTTTTCCAATGTTTATCACCATATTTCTACTGACGCAGTAATTTTGCATATTTTGACCTTTTTTTTTGGTAATTAACATAGATTTAAAAAGCAATTTGCAATGTGTAAATTACTTCCTTTGTTCACTTGACAATATTTTACTTCTGAATACATCTTTAAAGTTTTTCATGAAAATAAGCATGAATTTGGAAGGGTGCTGCTTTATTGACCTTCTCCAGCTTTACCTTAAACTCTTTCAATTGAGCTTCTGCGATTTTAGCCTGTTCATCTTTCTCTCGCAGTTTTTCATTAAATCCTTCCAGTTGTTTCTTAGCTGCACTAAGAGCCTCGACATCTGCGGCATGTAACATCAGTTCACGCTCGTACTTGTCTTGAGCGTCTGCTGCAAGTTTTGTCTGGTTCTCGCACTCTTGTTTAGCCGACATCTCCAGAGCTATGGCTGTTTCCCGTCTGTCGGTCACTGCATGAAGTTCGTTCTCAACTTCAGCAAGCTTCTTAAGCAAGTCTGCATTCTGCAAGAAGTTAAGTTAACAAGATCTAAGATGAAAGGCTATATTTAGAACTTTTTAACCTCAATGCCAGTATACTAACAAGGCAATAAACTTGAAACATGTATAAAATTAATAAAAAAGAACAATGAATGATATGTTCACCTTTTAAGTATTTACTGGAGGTGTAGAAAACCCTTTGGCCAGGGCAAATTTTGTTTAGAGGAAAGAAAGGGGGGAAATTTAGAAGATAAATCCTTTTGTATTTCTCATGAACATTACAATATAGATACCATATTACCATTATTTGGAATCCTTCTCACCATATTAATTATATTAAGGAAGTCAAAAGTTTCCCTTATGCAATGTATTTCTTTTCCCGTCAATGACATAAGATATTTCTTAAGACAGCATTATTATTGAAATTATTCTGAAAAAAAATAATCTTATTAAACATAAGATAAGCTTCACCATTTAAATGGGTCAATATTTGTTCTTTAATTTCTGAAGAGCAATGAAATGTACACATTTTCTGGTTATACAATTTGCCATTAGTTAACACAACATGATATGTTCATGGTTATACAAAAAGTTAACCCCACCTTGTGGCTGAGGGGTTGCCTTTATGGGTTGAGGCACCTGCATGATCGTATGAGGTAACTAAATGGCCTCGAATTAATACTAGAGTCTATGCATCTTCTAGCTCCAGCAGCTGAGGTGGTTTTGACTCCTGGTGTTGCCTTGAGTTTGTAACATCCAAGGTATGCCAAAAATCATCATTCATGTTTCGCTGCCATATGACCTTACCTAAATTGTGTAAAAACCAAACAAACAAAACATGATAAAACTTACCAATTTTTGGCTCTCCTCTGTAATTCTCATGTTCTCATTCAGTAGGTCTTGTCTCTCTGCTTCGAGACTATCAATTTGTGATGACAGATGACGACGTTCTGAAATAAGATCCACGATGCTTTTGTCACTAAATATCATTAACACTTTTCTGCACTTCTTCATTTTGAATGGAACTTAGAGTTATTGTTTAGTGTATAGTTATATAGAAGAGTGTAAAGTGAAATTTCTTCTGTTCTGATTATAGTTCACATTCAACCTTCATTTTTTTTTTGCCCAATATACTGATATATTGAAATTCTTGTTAAAATCCCTTGACACTAAAGTTTTATACATCAACTATTGATACCAGTACAAGCTCTTTTATCCTATCCTCAATTATAAATTTAACAAAAAATAATATTTATGTTTTCATGGAAACACTGGGTAAACAAACTAAAAAAGAAAGCATTTGTCTAAAATAAACCTACATGCTCAAAATTATGTCATTTAGAATAATATTCTTATATTTTTCTGAATAATGAACAGAACATTGCAAAAAAAATCTAAACCTCAATTGTAAGGGTCATGCTCCAAAAATAACAAGAAAAAGGAATCATACCTTCTTCTACTTCTCGTAGCCTTTCTTCTAATGTAGTCTTAAATTGTTCACTAGTCTGTAAATATAGAATACGGGCAAATATTGCTTTTTGGCAAATATATATAGGATGTCACATACGTTGTTATATAGTAGACAATTTTATTTAAGTACAATTAAACTTCGTTCGCTCGAACTCGGATCGCTCGAATACCTCCCTTCGCTCGAACTCATCGCCCAGTCCCGGCAAAATTCCTATATAATATATATTGTTCTACCTCGGATCGCTCGAACACCGATCGCTCGAACTCTGGAACCTGATCTCTGGTCCCTTTGGCAGAAATATAGTGAAAATCACACCTTTTCGGTCGAACACAAAAAGACAAGTGGGTATGTACTAAATAAATGACAGTCGGCGACACATGTTTAAAACACCTCGTGATCGTGACAAAGGTAATTAAGGTTAATTGATACAAAATAAGAGGTGTTGTAACCGATTTGTTTGTTATGATAATGTTGTTGATTTGCCATTTATGGTAACGATAAAAAGAAAATAACTTGTGTAATAAGTGAAATATGCATGCCAATAAAGAATGACGTTTACCCGGACGGCTTTAATTACAACCGTGGTTCATGTAAAGTGAATCGTTAACAGTGTTATCTATTTATAGAATGATACTTGTACGTGTGTTTATTTTAGTAAATGACTACAAATAGATGCTGCTGTAAATGTTTTAAATACATATTTCATTAATTTATTATTTAAAATTAAATTCATCCCATTATAAACATGTAAATATATTTTGAACATTGTTCAACAAGTTTGGTGTGATTGCCCAATCGAACTCAACCAATTACAATATGCATGAACATAGATTAACACAGCGTACCGTTAATACTTAATTAAAACACTGGGATAATAATTCTGAATATGAAATATTTGACGAACAGATGTACTAACAAACAATAATATTGACGTATTTATCATTCGACGGATGTAAGCTAGGAAAACCTTTAGGCATATGATCAACGTGATACGAGTTCAACCTCGCTTGGCTCGAACTACCGATCTCTTGAACAAATTTGCACAGGCCCTCCGAGTTCGAGCGAACGAAGTTCGACTGTACAAGAATTTCTCACAAATTGAGGCTATTGCAAGCTTTACACTAATATCTTGGATATGAATCCTGCACCAGCTGCCATGTTATAGACAAGAATATCTAGACTGAAGTCTAACTGTTAACTGGGGATAGCAAGTCTCTACCGGGTCTTTGCTAAACAGTTAAAGAGAGTCAGATAAGAAATTATGTAAAAATTATATATCTATCTAGCACTTCTTTCTTACAACACGGTATAAATTTACATCTTCACTCATAACTGTAAAACTGTATCATCTAAAGCAAAGTATTCATTCCTAAAGGGTGCTCTAAACGTTATTTAAAAGCATGCGACATACAGGTGTAAACATTTTTGAAAATCTTACCCAATATGCAAGAAATAATGATAATTAATTTGGAAACAAATAATAATCAATCAATGAATCATTGATAATCAATAAATCAATCAGAAAACTACTTGGATGATCCTTCGAGGCATAAAATAATTCTAGTTAAAGAAAATAAACATATATGTCAATGAAAAACATCAATGTAAACTGTTTACCTGATTCTGTTGGTCTATAGTTTGTTGTAAACTTTCCGCCATTGTTTTGTATTGTTCAGTGTGCTGTTTGGCCTTCTGTAACTGGGTCTGTAGACTTGTGACCTCTGCACGAGATTGCTCAAGATTAACTCTCAATTCCTTCAATTCATCACCCTTATCCCCACCTTAAAATTTCAAAAATAGATAAGTTATTTATCCAAGGCTTGTGTACATTTTTATATTGTTAGAATAATCATTCCTGTACTATTTTGTGTACATAGAAAATCTCATTGGCATAACATTCTAAGCTCTGAGTAAAAAGTGCTATGAAGTACAGTATTATTATTTTTTTTTTGAAATTCATACTTGAAATTAGAAATGTGTTCATACAGATGCTCCAACATTCCACTGTTTGGTCAGTCTACAGATGGGCAGCATGATGGACAGAGGTCACATCTTCATGTGTATGACATCCCTCATCCCCCAGATTTTTTTTTCTATTTTAGTAAACATATTCCACATTATTTAGATAGACCATATTTATTTACCTGTGCCAGATGTTAGAGTTTCCAGTCTAGTTTCAGCATCAGCCAGCTTTGTTGAGATCATTTTAATCTGAAATTCAATGATCACATGATATACCAGCATTCAATCTTTTCAAACATATGTCACAGGGTGCGAAAAAGGTGCACCTTGACCGGGACTAGAATCTGGGAGCCTTGGAATACTGCTATGTGGCTCTTCTGAATGAGCCATCCGGCTGCTTACACATCCTAAATATTGAATAGTTCTGAACGGTGACATACACTGCCTCTATTTTGAAGTTCATCTTAAAATTTCTCATGGAAATATGAATTAAACTAGCTCTAATTAGTGATGGATCTATGTTAGGCACAAAATATCACAAGTTGAGAATGTGCATCTTGACAGGGACACGAACCCAGGACCCTTGGAATACCGTTCTGTAGCTCCACTGACTGCGTTATCCTGTCACTTACATATCTTTTCTCCATAAATTGTTAACAGTTCTGAACTGTGATACATATTTCAAAGACTAATATGTAAATGTAATCATAAGTTTTAAAGGGGCCATGATGATAAAAGTTATCACTCATATAATCTGCATTGTTTGTTTTCTGGTTTTCATGCCTATTTTAACACATGTTCTGGTTATATCTTGAATTTTAAGAAATACCTTTTCTCTTGTTTCCTTTAATTCTTTTTCTTTGGGTTCTATCTGATTCTTTGTATTCTGATGACTTTTTAATTCTTGTTCTAACTGACCTCTCAACTCCTGTACTTGTCGCTACAAATAAAATTGTCATCAAGTGATTAATGGAAACATAAAAATTTTCTTGTAAACATATTTTAGCAGTAAGTAAGTTAAAGGGACTCCACTGAAGTCTGGAAGTCCTGGAAATAGTTTTCCGAAATTTTTGGACAAAATATTGAAGGTCTGGACCAATAACTTGTGTGCACATTTTTGGGTCCTTCCTGCATCCTATTTTTCCAGAATAATCAAAACTACCCCAAAATGAAATGGGTTGCAACTCAGCTCTGGCTAATAATTTACACTAAAATCAATTTTCAATTTAATATTCTTTCATAATAATTATTATTATAATTATTACAATTTTGCAGAGTTTTCCATTTTAAGTTCTCCACTTGATATTTGTAAGATTTTAAATTTTAGATTTTTAGGCCGTTGGACCTCAGCAGTTTTAATTGCACTTCAATGTGAGAAAAAACCAAGAGCTGTTACTGAAAAGTGACTTATGCGCTCGAAAGGAAGCTTTGACATTGTGTCAAAAAATTCAAGCAGAAGATCAACTTACTATGCACAACTAGGCATGGTGACAATCAATCCTGTGAAGTTTCACTGAAATCTCTCCTGAAAATTGCTAATTCGGGAAGTAAAATCTGGTGTAAGTTTAGAATTTAGGAACAAGAGGGCCATGATGGCCCTGAGGTCGCTCACCTGTATATAGGCCCCCCCCCCCCCAACCCCCACTCCCCCAACGTTGCAGAGCCAATTTAACCCAAGGGCTTTTATTTGCACAAACTTGGTAGACACCCATAAGAAGATGTTTCATGCTAAACATTTAAGTTCTAGCTCATTGGGCTTTTTAAAAGAAGATTTTTTTTAGTTTTTACTATCCACATATAGTTAAAAACAATGACACCCCTGGGGCCGGGCCAGTTTTGACCCCAGGGCTTTTATTTGAACAAACTTTGTAGACACTTACTAGAAGATGTTTCATGCTTAATATCTAAACTCTAGCTATTTGGTTTTTTTCAAAGAAGATTTAAAGTTTTTGCTGAACACATATAAAGAAAATCAATGACCCCCGGGGCGGGGCCAATTTTCACCCCTGGGCTTGTATTTGAACAAACTTGGTAGACACCTATTAGAACATGTTTGATGCTCAATATCTTATCCATAGCTCTTTGAGTTCTTTAAAAGAAGATTTTTTAAGTTTTTACTATATGCATATAGGGAAAATCAATGACCCCCCGGGGCGGGGCCAATTTTCACCCCAGGGCTTTTATTTGAACAAACTTGGTAGACACCCATTAGAAGATGTTTCATGCTAAATATCTTAGCTCTAGCTCTTTGGGTTCTTTAAAAGAAGATTTTTCAAGTTTTTACTAAATGCATATAGGGAAAATCAATGACCCCCCGGGGCGGGGCCAATTTTGACCCCAGGGCTTTTATTTGAACAAACTTGGTAGACACACACTAGAAGATGTTTCATACCAAATATCTAAGCTCTAGCTGTTTGAGTCCTTTAAAAGAAGATTTTTAAGTTTTTACTATAAGCATATAGGGAAAATCAATGACCCCCGGGGCGGGGCCAATTTTCACCCCAAGGCTTTTATTTGAACAAACTTGGTAGACACCCATTAGAACATGTTTCATGCTAAATATCTTAGCTCTAGCTCTTTGGGTTCTTTAAAAGAAGATTTTTTAAGTTTTTACTATATGCATATAGGGAAAATCAATGACCCCCGGGGCGGGGCCAATTTTGACCAAAGGGCTTTTATTTGAACAAACTTGGTAGACACTCACTAAAAGATCTTTCATGCCAAATATCTAAGCTCTAGCTCTTTGAGTTCTTTAAAAGAAGGTTTTTTAAGTTTTTACTATATGCATATAGGGAAAATCAATGACCCCCGGGGCGGGGCCAATTTTGACCCCAGGGCTTTTATTTGAACAAACTTGGTAGACACCAATTAGAACATGTTTCATGCTAAATATCTTAGCTCTAGCTCTTTGGGTTCTTTAAAAGAAGATTTTTTAAGTTTTTACTATATGCATATAGGGAAAATCAATGACCCCCCGGGGCGGGGCCAATTTTGACCCCAGGGCTTTTATTTGAACAAACTTGGTAGACACTCACTAGATGATGTTTCATGCCAAATATCTAAGCTCTAGCTCTTATGGTTTTTTAAAAGAAGATATTTAAAGTTTTTTCTTTCGGTTGCCATGGCAACCAGAGTTTTGCATGGAATTAAATTCTTTGAACAATTTTTAAAGGTGACCACCAAAGGAACATTCCTGTGAAGTTTGGATGAAATTGGCCTAGTGGTTTATGAGGAGATGTCATTTAAAGTAAAAGTTTACGGACGACGGACGGACGACGGACGGACGACGGACGGACGCCGGACGAAAAGCGATCACAAAAGCTCACCCTGTCACTTTGTGACAGGTGAGCTAAAAACTGCATAATGTTAAAGAAAACTTTGATTGGGAAGAGGCTTCTAATAAGATAAAGGGATGTATCTCTCTCTTCCAGTAATAGACTTACTCCGGAATTAAGAATATTTGGGTTTTTCCCTAGCTAATCTGGGGGTACAAACTAACTTTTACGGTTACAGCTTTTAAATTAAGCCCAACAGGTTGACTAATCTATTGTGACCTAAAGTGCACTGTGAAGCTATAACGGTAAGTTTGTTTGTACCGGGGGATTAGCACCGAAAACCCACATTTGCCGAGTTCCGGATAACATGTATTATTGTAACACTAACCTCCCAATGTTTGGTCATTGCTGAATGTTGTCTGTCCTCTGTTTCTAATCTCTTCTTTAAAAATGTTTTCTCACGATCTAATGTCTCGATTTGTTTTCCTAAAGTATTCTTTGTTTCCTTTTCATTTCTCTCTAAATTATTCTGCAATAAGAAATATATTAGTACTCTTCTAATTCATTTATCATTTAAGGGCCCATTACGCCCTAGAAATGTTTTTTATTTCTATTTTTCTATAGTTTTCTATATTTGGTGTACTTTGACAGTTTTCAAAAAGTTACTGATTTGCCAATTACCTAAACCATCTTTTTGTTTGGTTGATTTTTTTTTTTTTTTTGGCAATTAGTACATTCAAAGTGATTTTGTATGGGAAGTCAATATACTACTTTGTTTACATTTTGTTACTTTCATGACAAATGATTTCACATTTAGCGCTACTTTCTTCATGTAACAAGTGTCTAACATGCTCTAAAACAATATTGAAAACATAAAGCTCAAGGTTGTCCTTTTTGAAGTAAAATATTTATTTGATTCTGAGGCATAATGTGCCTTTAAATATAATACTGACAACTTTCCACTGGTATTGACGGTAAAACAGCCCAAATGACACTCTGATTAAAGATATTTAAATTTAGCACATAATGAATAAAACAAACATTTTAATTATGGACAAAAACAAAATCTTTTATATGAATAAACTAAAATCAGTTCTAAATCTTTAATTTCATGTCAGTTTTTAAAAACAAAGTACATTACAACTTCAATGTGTGGAATTTCAATCAGTCATTTTGCTGGATGTGTTAAAGTAAGATTAAATAGTCCTGATTTTTTCCTATATATATTCATAACAACAACCTATGTACAAGTTGAATTTTCATTAGACAAATTGAATTTTCATTAGACAAATTTTTCAACTTGATGTAGTTCTTACATGGTCCATACTTTGACTTACTGTAAATCTACAGTATTAGATTTCCATGGTAAGATATTTAAACAACATACCTGTATTGCTTGTAGATTAGCCATCAACATGGTCTGTGTCTGTCTCTCTCTACGTATACACTCAAGCTCAATCATCACTCTCTGTTCTGAGGATCTGATCAGGTCCTTCTCCGCTCGGAGATTTTCAACACGAGCCTCGGCCTTCGCTATCTGCTCCTGGGCCGCCATCAGCTCCTACTCAAACATAATATTATTAAACCACATTAGATCATAGATGGTTAACAAGATCCTTTAATCCATAACCGAATGAATTTATGTAATGAACTTGCACTGCCTGAAATCTTTTAACACTTCCGTTCAAGTTTAAGGGATTTCAATATTTAAATACTATCTTGTCCAAGTGCATGAATCTATATTGCATGTTGGAAACTATGATAGTCTTAGCAAAAAACATTTTGTAGATAGGGCTGAACTATGTTCTTCAGGGGAGATAATATTCATAATGAAAACAGTATAGAGCCTGGTCAGACTGCACAGACATTCAGGCTGTCTTGTCTCTATATTAGTAGCAAAAGCTGATTAATTTTGGTTTCAACAGGTTATTTGGTATTTATATTACCTATGATCAAATATGTGTCAATCTAAAAATAAGGGTCTTTCATTGTAAGTATGAAAGCCAATCTCAAAAGTATGTAATTAAACATATTATGTCTGTTAAATATAATATTATTAAAAATTATATATAAAATATATATTAGTCAAATACAATAATCATATAATAATCAAATTCATTTTCAAAAGAACAAACAAATTTTGGCCAAATAAATTTCATTTTCAAAATTGCTAAAATCTATTTCATTATACATTACGATTTTTTTTTGGAAATTGCAAAAACAAGCAACATAAAGTCACCTTACTCAAAATTAATATTGCATGTTGGCCAATACTATTGCCTTCTTGTGTAGATATCAAGTTACTGCTAGATCAAAGTCAACCTTACCACTGCTTCATTTGTATATTTAAACATGCCACACAATATTCCCCTATCAAACAGATAGGGCAATCAACTACATTATTACACATACTGACGTAGTATGATGTCAGATATGACGTCAATAAACAAAATGATGTCAGTAAAATTATTTCTACCTCAATGTAGTTCAACATATTTCTATCAAATTTTTTTTTTATATAAGCATGTTAGAATGAAAATAGATATTAATTTTTTTTTGCATTCCTGATTTAATTCCTTCACATATGAACTTGAACTGTGCACTATTCTACAACAATGCACTCAGAATTGATATCTATTTCCTAAATTGACTCCAGCACCCACAGGAAGTTAAATATGTACCTGTCTAAGTGAGTTACTGGTCTGTTCGTGTTTAGCAACGGAGGCTGTATATTTCTGAAGCTTGTCTCTCAACACGGCTATCTCTTTCTTGTAACCCTCGGTATTACTCACGGCAGCTTTATTCCTCTCTGCAGCAAATTCCAGCTAGAAAACAATAAATATGTTATCGTCTCCATACAATAAACTTTATACAGGCTGTTTCAAAAGCTTTACTGATGCCACATCCTTTATTATATAGAATGTATCAAAAAACTTGTTTGAGATCAAGACTTACATTAAGCTTGAAATTTACAAGCTGGAAACAAACACCATGGAGATTTAAATAAAAGGTACAAGAAAGTGATATTCAAATCTAAGGTTTATGTAAACTAAAGCATGATGTTAGCAATTGACTCACAGACAGACACACATCAACAACAGTGCATGGAAGGAGTAAAGGATAAAAAACAAAGTTTGCAATTCCGCTATAACACTTACAATGCTAAATATGTACAATAGGACTTGCCTAAAATTGAATTTGGAAATATCCATTTTAATTTTTAAGGGTTTCAAAAACAATTACACATATTGTGATAAGATTAGAAAAGAAAGGTAACTCTTCATTGATATTCGAAGTACTTGCAGTATGGGGCAAGGAGTTATCTCCCTTTTAAAATGATTGTAATCTCTTATAATTCTGATCAGAATGACCGTATAGGCATCTTTATGATATTAAGTTTTATAATTTGTAATTGAAATGTTATGTATGATGAGACTTTAATAAAGATTATATATTTACATACCTGTGATGAAAGTTTAGCGTTCTGCAGACGTAGATCTGTGGCTTCCTGTCTTAACTTATCTACCTGCTCTTTCATAATCCTGAAAAAAATAATAATTTTGACAGGATAATATAAAAGCAAAACAAACAAAACAACATCTACAAAGAATTTTATATTTTTCATAATGGGAAAATTAAGATGAAAATCCATGCTTCATGTGGAATTTTCCATGTTCACAGCATGAAAACATATACATGTATAAAACTACATGCTAGATTTATAAGATAGAGGTAAATGGTTTTGGTCACTGACCAACTAATTATGACTTAAAAGATTTACCAGGGATCTCAGTCGAAGACTTTCAATTTCTAATGAGAAATTTGCATTTGGAGCGTTAACCCAACGCTACGTCAACTGCATTGTTTTGATGATTACCTTTTCTTAAAATAGTTGAGTCATAAAAATTAGAAAAATATTAAAAACATTATAGCATTCATACTTATCATTTTCCATTTTGTCTTTTTTGTATGACATAAACTCCATCTGATGTTGTTTCAATGCTTTATTGGCTTCATCCAACTTCTTCTCCATAGCGTCTGGACCGGGACTTTTTTGTAATTTAACGGGACTCTTCATTTCTCCAGGGCGTGACAAACTCATATCTGGTGTCTGCAAGTTAAATATTGACAATTGCTTGTAAAATCTAGACAGAATTCAGTAAGACTGATTGATATTTGATAATGCTTAATAAGGAAACAAACAAAAAAATATTTCATGAAAATTTAACAGATGTTTCAGTATTTACTTGTCAACTTAAGAATATAAAATATATACTTGGCCTTTGTTTGAATTATTTTAAGGCATATTAATAATTGTGCAGGCAGCAAATGGAAACCACTTCCCTAAAAGGCTTTGTATTTTTATTTTCTGAATACTGATAAAACTGGTAAACATTATTAGTAACTAATTTTTTAGGTTTCTGGGAGATGTTTTGTGTCATGCTTTTTTCCTGGATTATTTACATTTTTAATAACAGACACACCAATATAGCTTTAGGTAAAATCTAAGAGCTTTTGCATTTGGATGCAATCTGCATATAAATTAATGATAAAAATAAGGACAAAAGATCTTGTTTGTGAGTGCATTGTTGTATAATATTGTACAATATGATGTGAGATACACAAAAATATAATCACAAAGGCTGAAGTCCTTTTTCCAATACAAAATGTGTATTATACAGAGGAGGTAATAACAGAAAGTTCACTGTCTTGAAATTACGTATGCTTCTTGCCTTCTTTGTTTATACAGAAAAATCCCCTATTCACATATCAACACTTATTTTAAAATAACCACCCATATGACAATCACAAATCTTTTAAAGGTACAGTGGCTATACTTACAGGGGAAGCATTGGCTTGCTGAAGAAGTATTCTATACATATCTCTCTGTCGCACAATAGATTCCACCTGGAAACAAATAATACATACATTGCAATATGTGAATATATTTTATTCTTATTTTGTTTGTGTTGTACTCATTATCATCTCAACACTGTAAAGGTTATATGACAATATTTCAGCAGCTTTACTTGGAAAATCAAAGAAACTAAATGCACCCTTAATCATTTTTTATCTATATTATTTAATAACAGAATATGCAGCAGTCTTTGGAACAAGTTATTTTTTACTATAGGACAGCATAACAAGAGCTGTCCGTAAGACAGCGCGCTCGACTTTTTTATTGCTTGCCAATAAAAAAAGTTTTTGCAGTAAAAGGCAATACAAGAATCTCTGTATTTTTAAAGTGAACTAGTTGTTTGATACCCTTGAATATTACAGCAATGTTTATATGACATAATTTATGGTAAAGTGAACAAGTGGATAGGAATGAATTTTTTTAGATTTTTTAAGTTTTTTAGTGCTTGCCTATAATACAAAACATTGACAGTTAAGGGCCATAATTCAAATAAAATCTTTGACAGAATTACCTTCTCCTGGACATGTTTGGGAATCATGATTGTAAACAAGTATTCCAACTTTCAAATTAATATCTCAAACAGTTCAGTCAAAAAGTGGACTGGTACTAAAAACTTAACCAAGATTCTAAGTCGATAAAAGGCCTTAATTTTTAAAAACAAATCCTTGACAGAGTTACCTTCTCTTGCGTACAGATGGGGGTAATGATGTGAAATAGCATTAAAAGTTTCAAAGCAATATCTCAAAGGGTTAAGGCAATAAGTGGATTTTACCCATATTCAATGTATTTTCTAAGTCAAAAAGGGGCATAATTCTGTCAAAAACCTTGACAGAGTTATGTCCTCTTGTCTGTTGATGAAGGTCGTGATGGTAAACAAGTATGGTCAGTTTCAAAGCAATACCTCCAATGGTTTTGAAATAAAGTGAGGTGGTACAAAAAACTTAAACCAAGCTCAATACACTTTCTAAGTCAAAAAAGGGCCATAATTCTGTCAAAAACCTTGACAGAGTTATGTACTCTTGTCTGTAGATGGAGGTTATGATGGTGAACAAGTATGGTAAGTTTCAAAGCCATACTTGTAATACTTCTGAAATAAAGTGGGGTGGTACGAAAAACTTAACCAAGGTGTGACGCCAACGCCGACGCCAACGCCGACGCCGACGCCGACGCCGGGGCGAGTAGGATAGCTCCCCTTTTCATAGAAAAGTCGAGCTAAAAATTACATATACTTTTACCAAGAAAGTCTTGACTGTATGAATATCTTTATGATATATTCTTGTAATCTAAATAAAAAACTGTATGTATGTACTATATCTAGTAATGCTTTTGTCATAAGAGAGGACTTCTTTGAGCTAATATAGCTTTATTTCCTTTCAGAGTTTCATTCTATGTTTCTGTTTTTTGTTGGATTAAGTCACACTGTCAAGGTCATATGGCAACTTTCCAGTTTCACTGGTGGAGGGAGACCTATGGTGCCCCCTCCCCTCACCCTATGCATTATTTCAGGCATCAGCAGGCACCCAAGTAGTACCACCAATTTTCCGTAAGCTAGCTAGATAACATCCTCAAATGAAAGAATCTTAAGTCCCAAATGAGATTTAAACCCACAGCTGTGTAGGGCAAGTAATTTGATGTCAGCAACCTTAACTACTCAGACACAGAGTATTGTACATTGTATTGATAAAAATACAGGAATAACATGCAATTACTTACAAAATTTACTAATAAAGAAAGAATATTACACAATCTAATATTTTCTTAAAAGAAAACTCAGGTTATGTACAAAGATTACCATTTCTGACTGCCGTAACCTAGAATCTTTTAATTCTGCCAGTTCTTCCTGGGCCTGCTCGAATTGTTCTTTTAGTTCCTTTGTTCTGAAATATTCAACAATTAATCATTGAAATTCCTACCTACAAATCTTTTCTTATAAAGTTCTAATTCATACCAATACAGTACAGAAGATGCAGAACATTCCACATAAACTGGCGAAGGAAACCTTCCAGTGCCCCTTTACGAGTATACCTGTACATCAATAGATGTAAGCAAAACCACTGATCTTCCTGCAATAAATCAGCTGTTTACTAATGAAGAAGATAATTTGAATGTAAGAAAATTCCCTTGTGGGACTTGTACCCACAGCAATGAGTTGCAAATTATGTCAATGACCTTCACCACTCAGCATCAGGTCAGGTGCCACTCATAGCATAGCAGCACTATCATTTCTTGCTATTTTTTTTGTTTTTTAACATAGTCTACAGGTGTGAACAGATCCTCACCTTAGTGCAATGTCTGATTAATTGCAATTAAATTTAGAAGGACATATTCCATTATTGCACTAAGGTGACAAGATACTATAAAGATATTGTAATATTAACATTCAACAACCCGCTAAATTTGTATAATAGAATTGCCCAGTTTTAATTTCAGAACAGTCTATTTAAGGTTTCAGGGATTTTAATACAAAAATACATAAAAAATACATAAAAAAGACCTTAAAACAGTATAGAGCTTGGTCAGACATCACCGATGTGCAGGCAGACCTGGCTATATACTGGTGGCCAAGGTTAATTATTTCTGGTTCGAGCAGGTAATAGGCGAGATACAAGAAAACAGGTATACTTAGCATCTACAGCCATGTTCTCCTCCTCCTCTTGTTTATCAGACAGCTCCCTGATCACCGCCAGTAACTTCTGGTTCTGTTCTTGTAACTCATCAATGTTCCTGCAGGTAGTAGATACATTCAAATAATTAAATAACAACTGTTCTAAAAACATTTAGCACAAATTAAAAGCATGAAAAACAAAAAACAAGTATCCGAAAACTTCTTAGCATTAAAGTTGGAAATAAAGTATGAAAACCATTGACAGAGTTGTAAGTAAAACAAGGGTGCTAAATGCTTGTCATAGAAGTTTTCAGTGAAGTTAATTCAGAATCAATGACATAAGCAATGTACTGTTCTCTTGAGTATTTAAGTCCACTTAAACAACAGTCACCAACATTTGACTTTTCTTAAAGCAAGCAAATAAATGGTTTAAACAAACCTTGAAAAAAAAATTACAGAAATTTTTTGTTCAAAAAGGGACACAATTGTGTCAAAATCCATGTTCGAGATATGGCCTTGAACAGTGCCCTTCTATTCTGCTCATAAATGTATATGAAGTTCCCTTCAGTAATTTTTGAAGATACCAACTTGGGCACAAAAACATTACCAAATTGCGATGCCCACCACAGGGTGAATGCAATAGCTCTCCATATTCTTCCAAATGTCCACCTAAAAATTTATTCCACAATCTTTTCCTTTAACTAAATGTTCTTGTATGTTCAAAGGTTATAGCTATCACACAATATTTACCTGAAGGTAACAAGCCTGTCAGATATGAGCCTGGAAGAACTGCTAATCTCTGGGGAAGATCCATCATCTTTCACTACACGCCCACCTTTAACCTCTTCCATCTCTTTCACCAAGTACTTCACCTGAAGATTCCAAAACATTAATCAGCTTTTACCTACAAAATACCTAGCTCCTATCTATGGTCAACCCTTAACTGACTGGAACCAAAAGTGATAAGTATTAAGCACCAGAACAGAGTCAGGTCAGCCTACATATCCATTGAAATTCCTTAAAGGAACTCCACTGAGGTTTTGTGACCCTTGGTTTTTTTATTGAAATACAATTGAACCCTGATTTTCTTAAATTATCAATAAAAAACAACTGTATCCTGTTTCTTTAATTATCAAAACAGAAATGAACCCTGATTTTCTTTGTCAAAATACAACTGAATTCTGCCTTTCTTTAATTATGAAAATTACGTTGAACCCTGATTTTCTTTAATAATCAAAATACAATTGAACCCCGATTTTCTTTAATTATCAAAATACATTCCTTACTAATCAAATACAAATGAACCCCAATTTTCTTTAATTATCAAAATACAAATAAACCCTGGTTTTCTTTAATTATCAAAAGCAGGCAAAACCTTCACATTTTTTCCTATTTAACTATTTCAGCAAATAGCAATATCTTATGAGAACACTAGTTAGGAGTTTATCATCTTGTTACCTGCTCAGAGAGATCTCTGATTTGCTGTTGCAGTTTTTGGTTCTCCCGTGTCAGATGTGACGACTTTCGGTGACTCTCGTCAGTTTCAGCTCGTAATGTTTGGCAGTCCTATAACATACAATAACATACAAATTAATTAACAGTCAGTTTATAAATAAGCCTTTTCATAAAAACTCGAAAGCTTGAAGCTAATTTGAACCACTCCTGGACTAACCTGTGTGGTATCATGCGAGGAAACACAATTGTGACACAACAAGGACCCATAGGTTGGAAGGAAGACAATTTAACTACTAAGACAATAATTCAAGTAAATACATGAAGGTTAAACATCTTATAAATTTTTTAACCTGCTTTAATGGAAAGTGATCAGCTTTTGTTACCAATATACAGCCAGGTCAGTCTGCACATTGGTGCACTTATACTGTTGGTAGCTGAGTTTTTGTATACTAAAATCTTTTAAACTTTGAATGGACTTTTCAAAATACAAAAACTATAGCACACATTAAGCAGGTTAAAGGTTGAAATATTTTACTGCAGATATTCAAAGAATTCAATTTCTTGAACATGCTCTGGTAGCATTTTAACCGTTATATCCTTAAATTTGAATAAACAAACTTGCCTTACTGTGAATTTTGAACTGCCTATTGTTAATTATTGGGTTTCATTGTTAAAAGGAATCCACCGCGGATTTTTTTAACATGAATGAAAATAATTTTTCGAGATTAATGTTCCATTTGATGTAGGTCTAAATCAGTTAACTTGTATACAAAATTTCAGATCATTTTCTCACTCTGTTTTTCCAGAATGATTATTCTAATTGAGAAAATTGATCCAAAATTTAAAATCATGTTAAAATGGCACAAAAATATAGTTTTCAATTTATTGTGAGTCAATTTCTAAAAATATCTTTTGCATATCTTTCTGTTTTAAGTGCCCCAGTTGATTTATGTAAGAAATTCAAATTTCATAACTTTAGGATATAACACCTCAGTGGAGTTTAGTGTCTATTCTAGGAGGGGCGATGGGGGGGGATTCACCCATATTTTTGAGAATTCACCCCTATTTTTTGAGAGGAAGGGGGAAAATTTTACAAGACAAAGAAGGAAAAAGATCAACAAATGTAATAAATTCTCACTTTTCGATAAAAATCCCCCCTTGTTTTTCGAATCCTAGAATAAACACTGGAATTCCTTAAAGATACTAACATTGAACAGCATAAAGTCTAGTGTAGACTGCACAGATGTACAGACTGGCCTGGCTTTACACTGTTCTTGACATAGGTAAGCCATTATTGCCACTACAATTCAAGAAGTTAAATAAGTTACAGACCAACATAGCAGCATCTAGCTGTCTGGTCATCTGGTCGATACTCTTCAAGGCTATCTCATAATCTTCCCTCTGTTTCTTCAACATTGGTGCCTTCTCATCTATCTCCTGTAACATGTGTAAATAACATTTCAGTTTCAGTTTGTTTGGGTTTAACTGCACATTGAGTCATTGACACATAACTGGCGCGGTATGGATAGTTACGTGTTAAAAGTATAAAAGCCTTTATGGCACTATCATAAATTTCTTACTGATTAAAAGATTTGTCAGACCAATTTTTATCATTCTGTAAAACCTGTAAAAAAAAAAAATTCAAGACTTAAATAATAAAGATTTTCAGTTGATTTTTTTTTCAAAAGGGTGAAAAAAGCCTTTATCTGAACTAAATTTTTATGCAAAAAAAAAATCATTGACATAGAATCAATATTGTGTATACTACTCATATACAATATAACAAATATGTAATATTGTTAAAAATATATTTACATTATATTAATACATATATTATAAATATAAATAAAGACATCAGAATAGACTTGCTCCAGAATTAAGAACATACTGGGTTTTCCCAGCTAATCCTAGAGTATAAATAGTTTTAAAGTTACAATTTTGAAAAAAAGCCCAACAACGTGGACTTCTCTATTGTAAACGGCAGTGCACCGTGAAGTAATAACCATAAAAGTTTGTTTGCAACTGGGGATTAGCTTGGATAATACACATTTGTCGAGCCCTGGGTAACACTGTACCTGAAGTATTTGATCCAGGTATGAATTTAGTCGTTTGTTCTCATCCTTTTCAAACTGTAGAGCATCGGTCGCCTGTACATATTCATTATATATCTGGGTCAAGGTCATACCAGACTTTAACATTTTACTAGTGGCCGCGGCTGTTGGGAACATGGCTTCTACTTTATCCTCACTCATTCCTGAATTATTACAATAACCATTAAAACAAACACAGTCGCGGTAATAACAGATAGAAATTAGATGTAAATGCTTAAATTTTCAGCTTGCAACATTAAGTTTCTGTCTCTAAAATGGTAGCACAGGCAAATCATCATAGCACTATAATGTTTTAAATCATATTGTATTACATGTCCACCAAGTTTGAAGGACTAGCATCAATGCCAAGGTGCATTTTCAAGAGTACTTAAAATGTTGAAACCTACTTTTAAATATTACTGCACATAGAAATAGGACTCCTTAGAAACATGATAACAAGAAATATAATCATCTCAATTATAAGTTATTATTTCTCTCAACTCAAATAGGTAGAAAGGACTGTGAAGTGTTACCTTTAGATTTCATAGCAGATAGCAGCTCATTGGCATTGACAAGCTCTTGTTCCAATCTCTCTATTCTTTTGTCTGAAAGATTAAATACAGCAACATATATGAATTTGTATTTTATTAGTTTACATTTAAATCTAAGCTTCACTGTGGTTTCTATTAGCTAATTTTAGCTACTCTTGAGTCCTTTTTCCTGGAACTCACAAGTACTGGGTGTAAATGAGGAAACATGGTCATGCCCAAGTAGGGCTCAAAACCATGACCCCTATGTTGAGAGACAGACACTTTAAACACAAAGCCATCACTCCATTCTCTTCATTACACCAAATTCAAAGACGTCAATTGATGCTTTTTATATGCCAGATAAAATGTTTACAGCCTCAGACAGAATTTACGGTGGTCAAGAAACAAATGTCTTTTTTTTTTTTTAATGAAAATGGATATATCATAGCAAAAGCATAATCATGATCTGTTAATGTGCATGAAGCTATACATTTTTCCTATGTTTAAAAGTATAGTTTACATATAGCGTCTTTTAAACATGTGTATTACAAAAGTTTGTTTCAACTACAAAAAGACAATTTACTCAAAACATATTTCACGTAGTTTTAAATGGACAGTTATAAATAAATGTGTTAAATCACGATATGATGAAATGCTTTGCAAACCTTTTTGATCCAACACATCCCTGACTTTTTGTATTTCTTCATCTTTTTCATTTTCCATATCTGTATGGGCTACAAAGTGAAAACATTTATGTTAATTTTTTTTCTTTTGAGGATAGAAATCAGCAACATAAACAATTCGTCTCCCTTGTTAAAATATACAAATTGGATGAAGTTTTTATAAAGTTTATTTTGAACAATATTTAAACAAAACCTGTCAGCAGACTGGGCCCTCCACTTTTCTCAGTGCTAGATAGTTATATAAGCATAACTTTGCATAAAATAATTTTAGGATTATCTGCCCTTTGGAAAATAGTGTATTTTCATAACAATTAACATGTATATTTTAAATGGCACAACTGTGATCTCTTTTGTTATATGACACAGAAAATTTATATGGCACAACTGTGATTACTTTTTCTTATATAACACAGAAATTTTAAATGGCACAACTATGATTCTTTCTAATAAAACACGGAAATTTTAAAAGACACAACTGTGATCTCTTTCTTATATAACACAGAAATTTTAAATGGCACAACTGTGATCTCTTTTTCTTATATAACACCGAAAATTTACAAGGCAAATAAAGACAAAGATGTACTACCATCAGCAGCCTCCTTGAGCATTTTCCGGAGTTCTGTGACTGCACTAAACAGCTCTTTGGCCTGGGCCTCATTCTCCTCAGCTTTTCCCTTTATAATAGTAAAATAAACAACAGTCAACATAAATTATCAACAACTTATAACATTGCTAAATTCTATCATTTACATAAATGAATTTTAACAATTTGGACAATTCTTATGGACACAAATTTATGTAAAACTTATAGCATCTAATGAAAAATTAATATTTCAAAAGGATTTAACATGAAATAGTGAAAAGTAAAATGTTTTGAAATTGCATACTTTATTGCACTTAAACATTCAAATTTTTTTTCCATGTAGGGGTGGGGCAGGCGAGCAGGGGGATCCATGCAAATTTATTTGGTTCAATGCAAGATTATTATCATTACATTTAATATTCTTATTTTTTGTTATTTTTACCATTCCTCTTAAATTCCTATTGTAATAATATATTGGCATACAGGAAACAATCTATGATTTGTGTACCAGTACAAATTTCCTATTCTTTTTTGAAAGTAAACATTTACTTCTCTATGTAAGATATGTGTACGAGCAGTGGAGAAAAAGTGATGTAAGACATATTGCCTTTATTCATTATCTACACATAATACACATGCCAAGCCCAGAAATTAAGACAGAACCAATTACTTTAACTACATACATTTGTCAATTACTAAAGTATTTTGTATATATCTTAGTCAGTTTTACTGGTGTTTTTACTTAGTGTTTGCCCTTTAACTGCTTTCTTCACTAGAATAATGCATCAAATTGATCCTTTCTCTGATTATAATGCAAAACTCTTTGTTACATTAAGACATCATCGCTATTGATGTCATGTGACACTAACATAATTCTCCTGTTTATTATTTATTTATGTACCCTGAAGAAGGACAAAACTTTTGTATATTCAAGGGAAGTTTAAGAATATGCAGTTGATAACTTTTTTTTTACTATGAAAAGAACTCTTATTAAAATTAATACACCTAATAAGTGCTTTCAAAAACAAAGTAATTCTGGCAACTCATTATTGTCAGTAAAAAGCAATAACTAATGGACACTTTAGTAGACATTGTAACAATAGGTGACAATAGATCTATATTCATGCTATTCATTCTATGGCTCATATATGACTAGAAAATATCTTTTTTAAGTGGTTAAAAGAACAGTCAATGAGTAGAGCATTAGGTAACCTTTACTTTAGTAACTACATGCAATACTAAGATACACTTTCAAATATCCATCTATCATGAAAATAAATACCTTATACAGTTCAGCAAGATTGGCCCGGGCATTGATTTCTTGTTTAAACTTTTCTTCTGACTGTATTGAATTGTCTTGCATCTGTGAAACAAAATAAAAGAGAATTATTTATAGATCTATTTATGCATATTGGCAGATGTTTGCATTATGTATGTTTATTTCAAATGATAGCCTTTGCCACCAGCCTTTGCCACCAGTATAGAACCAAACCAGCCTGCATATCTGTGCAGTCTGACCAGACTCTATTCTGTTAATAGCAGAATTGTTGTATATCGTTATTGAAAAACTAAAATTTGAATGGACTGTGCCATAAATAAATCAGGACAAAGCTAAATAACATGTACTAATTAATTAAGCCATATTCAGCCTTTAAGTACTCTTTTTACTACCATATTTCTACACCTTGACTAACTCAGTAAGGGCTATTTTTTGCATATTTTGACCTATTTTAGGTAATTTATGTGAATTGTATGTGCCATTTGCAATGTGTAAATTACTTATTTTGTTCACTACACATTATTGCTGCTAAAACTCCAAAAATAAAAATCTTTTAAGAGTGTATTTCGTTTTCGGTCAGTTTCATTTATACAGAGTTTATTTTAGTTTGACTGTGTAGGAAGCTTTCTGTTCCTGGAACCAACCAGTACTGAGCAATGAGTGTAACGTTTCTTGCTCGATGAAACAAAGGGTCGCCCAAGGGGTTTGAACTCACATGGAGAGCGATCCTTTGATATGTTTTAATCAATTCTTTAATTATTACTTTAAAAAATATCTCATATTTACATCTTTTATTCTTTGTATGAAGGTCTCAATCCTCTGAGATTGTTCAGAATTAGTTTTCCTCAAGGACTCGACTGTTGTTTGAAGTATACTACATTCCTCTGTCTTCGTCTCTAGTTCTGATTGTATCTCTAGTACCTTGCTGGACTGAAATAATAACAACATTGATAATAAATCATTGCATAATCCCTTCCTGTCAGATGAACAATTTGTGTGTAGATAACACACTGCATTGTGGTAATTTGTAAGGAATAGTGCCCATTTCAAAAGCCGTTGTTCTTGTTAACCTAGTTTAAAGTTATTTCAAACTTGAATCCTTTCTCTGGTTAACATGATATTAAATTCATCTATGCTCTGGGGAGCCACATATAATACACTTTTTAAAATTGATATTCAACTGATACAAACTTTATTTAACTTCAATCAATGTGATGTAACTTTAAATAAACTTGAACGTTTGCAAACCTTTTCCCGTTTGACAGCCATCAGTTCTTTATTTTTCTCTGTAGCATCATTGTTTAGCCAGTCAATCTGTTTCTGTAAGTTCTGTACTTCTTGCTCTAATCTCTTAACCTGGAACTATATAATATACATCAATAAAAATAACGGTAATGAAAATATTTTACACACTAAATCACAATTTCTAGCAACATAGGTGGAAGCTGCTGCATTCTCTTGGCGCGAATCTAAGCCTTAAACGAGTTTAAGCCAAATGTTCGAAAGACTGGAGGGACATTTCATCTTCATGAATTTATGATTTAAACTTTATAAATTCACAATTTCAATTCACAAATTCACGATTTCAACTTCACATATTCACAATTTCAACTTCAAAAATTCACGATTTCAACTTCAAAAATTCACGATTTCTACTTCATGAATTTGATTTCAAATTGTTCATTCAATATGTTGAAAACATGAATTCAGGAAGTTAAAATTGTGAATTCACCAAAATGAAATCGGGAATTTATGAAAATGAAATGTCCCCACCGGTTACTGTTACAAAATTCTTTTACCAGATATCCATTTAAGGATTTTTTTGACACATTAATGATTAATCACTTCATCCTGTGAAGTATAAGTAAGTGAGAAGAAATTGAAGACACAGAAATATTTACTTCTTTGTTGATTTCTCCACTCCTGACTTCGTCAAATTTAGCAATAGCCTCACATTTCGCTGTGTTCATCTCCGACAACTTCCTCGACATCTTCTTCATCTCGTCTACAATCATATGTCAATAAATTATCAAATATTGTATATACATGTATATCATACAAGTTTACAATGATAACTTGTTGGTTTTGCAGCAACATAGCCAGCCTTCAATATAAATATATTATTCTTGCAAATTTATTTTGCTACCTGCATTTTGTATATAATAGGGATTATCTCTAGTAGAATCTTTTCAATACTCCTTCTTAAAAACATCATCTAGAGGGTAGGTAGGTGTGTTTTAATCTGGTACGGTAAGGTACTGAATTTAACCATTCTAAATACTCTTCAAAGTAGGTGAATCAATATCAGGGAACTTCTGTCTTGTGTCGCTGTTACACATGTATATTGTGATTCTCAGTCTCCCAAACAGTGTTGCTAAACAGAGATTACATTGTAACTCTTTCATTAACAGAGGGAGCAAAGACAAGAAATAAGATTCAGACATTAAACTTGTGACAAATAAATTATTAATAAATTTACCATTTAAATCATCGATTTCTCTGTTTCTTTTTTCTAGGAGTATAACAAATTCTCTCTTCTCACATTCCAACTGCTCATTGACTTTTGTTAACCGTAACTGGAAATAGTAAAATATTCATAATTACATTAAATCATATTTTGCAAAGTTTATATGCATGTGAATGATGTGAATAACACTGACAATGTAAAAATATCAGTATCTTTCTAATTCATCTTTGTTTTAAAAAAAGACATGTTAGGAAGTAAGTTATCAATAACCATTAAATGAAGTGTTTCACATCTTAATACATTTTCCCTATCAGATTTAACATTTTCCCTACAAGTGTTATCAAAAGTAAGTTACTATAACTGGATGATTCATAGTATCATTATAAATGACAATACTATCTTTTTCTATAACATCTTTTTCTCTGTCCAAGACATCAGATCACTGAGAGCATTGGCCTCGTGGTTAAGGTGTTTGCCTTTCAACCCAGGGATAGTGGGTTGAAGAAATTGAGTCCTACTCAGTTTGCAACCACCTTTCCTCATAAGACGTACTAATTCAAAATTATTCTTTGTTCTTAAGCAGCAGACTTGAGTGTAATTAAAATTAGCCTTCATCACAACATATATATTTATATTATGTTTAAACCAAGTCATCAGATAAAAATAATGTTTGTACAATTTGAAAACTCACCTGTGTTGAGAGATTTCCTTCCTGTGTGTCTTCCAAACCCCGAAGTTTCTGAGAAGCCTCATTATACTTTTTCTCTGTAAATATATCATGTGCTTATCAGATTAACCCTCTACACCTAGAATTTTCATACTGGACTTGCCCTGCTTTGAATGAATATAGAGCAGTCCATTAAATAGTTTAACAGATTTCAGCATGAAAAATACAGAAAGTAAGCAATCAGCTGTACAGTGTACAGCTCTGCATTCTGGCATGTCTCCATACTGGTAGCATAGGCATGCCATTATAATATGTGTCCCTACATTGTAGTAAGAAAGGTGAAACATTAATATATTTATACAAACGGTTTCATCCATATCGTAAGAGGGTATTTCAATGTATATTAAAAATATTCAGTAAGTTTCAAATCAAGAGTTCTGTACAGTGACTATAGATGCAGTATTTCTTTCGCATGTATCACATATGGAAAAATGCTCTCATCAATTTTGCACTATGCCTAGTTTTTAACTCTTAATCTGCTGAATTTGTGTAGAGGATTTGCTTAACTTTTGAATTTGGAACAGTTTATTTAAAGCTTAAGGAATTTTAATAACAAGATACAAAACTCAAGTTGCAGAAATTATAAAGCCTGGTCAAACTGCACAGGCTGGCCTGGCTCTGTACTGGTGGCAAAGGCTAAATACCTCTAGCAGGCTAAGGGTTAAATAACAAACCAATTTAATTTACTCACCTAGTTAAATAACAAACCAATTTAATTTACTCACCTAGTTAAATAACAAACCAATTTAATTTACTCACCTAGTTCTGCAATCTGTTGTCTTAACTGCTCATTGGCTGAAGATTCTTCCTTCAACTTTTCATTACTGGTTATAAGTTGCTTTTCTATGTCACAATATTGTTGCTCTGTACGTATAAATTTCATGACATTTAAGAAATATTAAATCAATATATACTGATGGAAAGCATTTTTTGAAATTTGTAAAAACTAGAACTGCCACTATCATGGCGTGAATACCCCCGCATACCACTTTGTCAGAATCAACAGTGGCCATTTAGAGCTCAAGGACAACCTCCCTGCCAAATCTGAGGTTACTATGCCAGTGCATTGCTAAGTTATGTATTCTACATGCTTCAAATGTGAAAATGTCAAAATCAATACATTGCGGACAGGACATTCTTTAACAATTAAGAAGAAAAGCTTTTTTTTGTCAAGGTCCCTGTGACCTTGACCTTTGACCCAGTGACCTCAAAATCAATAGGGGTCACCTTATAGTCATGATCAACATCCATGCCAAATATGAAGACTGTGGGTCATAAATGGGTGGACAAACTTTTTGAAGTCAAAATCCCTGTGACCTTTGACCTGGTGATCTCAAAATCAATAGGGGTCATCTACAAATCATGACTAACCTCCATTCCAAATATGAAGACTGTGGGTCAAAGGAATCTTAAGTTATTGGGCGGACAAGCTTTTTGAAGTCAAGGCCCATGTGAACTTGACCTTTGACCTGGTGACCTCAAAATCAATAGGGGTAATCTACTAATCATGACTAACCTCCATTCCAAATATGAAGACTGTGGGTCAAAGGAATCTTAAAGTATTGGGCGGACAAGCTTTTTGGAGTCAAGGCCCCTGTGACCTTGACCTTTGACCTGGTGACCTCAAAATCCATAAGGGTCATCTACTAATCATGACTAACCACAATGCCAAATATGAAGACTATGGGTCAAAGGAATCTTAAGTTATAGGACGGACAAGCTTTTTGAAGAAAAGGCCCCTGTGACCTTGACCTTTGACCTGGTGACCTCAAAATCAATAGGGGTCATCTACTAATCATGACTAACCACCATGCCAAATATGAAGACAGTGGGTCATAGGAATCTTAAGTTATTGGGCAGACAAGGTTTTTGAAGTCAAAGCCCCTGTGACCTTGACCTTTGACCTGGTGACCTCAAAATCAATAGGGGTCATCTACTAATCATGACTAACCACCATGCCAAATATGAAGACAGTGGGTCATAGGAATCTTCAGTTATTGGGCGGACAAGGTTTTATGAGTCAAGGCCCCTGTGACCTTGACCTTTGACCTGGTGACCTCAAAATCAATAGGGGTCATCTACTTATCATAACTAACCACCATGCCAAATATGAAGACAGTGGGTCATAGGAATCTTAAGTTATTGGGCAGACAAGGTTTTTGAAGTCAAGGCCCCTGTGACCTTGACCTTTGACCAGGTGACCTCAAAATCAATAGGCGTCATCTACTTATCATGAGTAACCACCATGCCAAATATGAAGGCTGTGGGTCATAGGAATCTTAAGTTATTGGGCGGACAAGAAAAAACCGACGGACGGCCAGACGGACAAGCTGATTCCAGTATACCCCCCTTACAACTTTGTTGTGCGGGGGTATAATTACTCATTAACACTTTTTGGTTCTTCTCTCGCTAACACTGAAGACAGACCCATAGGGAAAGTCCACCAATAATCGTACCAGGAATCTGACAGGCTTGTATTCAAACATGCCATGATGAAGTAAAGTGAAGCATACCTTGATAAAACCTCAGGGCCCGCAAAATTTGATTTTGATTTACTTGTCCGTTTTTATGTGAAGCATTTTTTAACATGTCCGTATGATATTTACATAGTTTATTCTTGAAAAATGGAAGCAGTGTATAAAGTACCGAATGACACTTTTAAAACAGAAAAATGAACAATTTTTAACTGACTTCCCCGTTCATAGTCTGCTTAATTACATATTAATAATCATCAAGTGCTAACCGAGTGAAAATGGAAGAGGTGCATGAAATACCAAATGACACCCTTAAAACTGAAAAATAAAAGATTTTTCAACTGACTTCACCGTTCATACGGGGAAGTCAAAGACCGGGCCCGCGAGGCGGGTCCGGGCTTTTGCTTGCCCGGCTATAGACTACACGTGTATATTTAAAAGAAAATCAAATAAAAAACAATTAACAAATATAAAGAATTCTATACCTATCCATGAAATTTTCAGTGTCAGTTCTAGTCGGGCGCTGCCATTTACAATGTTACTCAATGATAATAGGCGGGGCTTTCCTATAACGGAACAAATCTCATCTTTTCGGATTAATAATAATCGTCGAGTGTTCCGAGTGAAAACGGAAGCGATGCATTAAATACCGAATGACACCTTTAAAACGGAAAGAATGAAACTAATTTTTTAACAACTTCCATGTTCATAGGCTTTGCCTAATTTCATTTTAGGCATTGCCTAATTTCATATTATTTTGATACTTTAAATGGTTTACAGTGTTCAATCTAGAACAAATTTCCAGGGTGCCCTTCGGGCCCATAAACTTTTCAAAAGGGGGTCATTTGAGAAAAAAGGGGGCAAGCACTTAAAATGAACATCAAATTCAAATAAGGTATTGTATCTTTTTAAGTTACTTGTTCACGTACCATATATAGACCAAAAACGGTTGCAAAATTGCATAACAATCAACTCAACTAAAAAAAATGACATTATTTGGACCTTTTTCAAGAGTTCTGTTAGCGTTGATGCAGGCTCAATTTTTAGAAATGATTGGTAAAGAAACAATGACATAATGTTCAAAGAAACATATGAATCTTATTTAAATGTTACCAGGGATATTTGATAACAATGTTCAGTTTTTTAATCAGCGCCCAATATATAAAGGAAAATCATATTTTGCAATTAGCTTATAAACTTACAATAATCACTAAAAACATTTACCCTTCTCAATATATCCAAGATAAAAACAAAGTGTCAACAGGTGCTAAGACAATGTATATTGACATACCGGTACCTTTGATCTTTTGTCAGGACAGCAGTTCTTACGTCATGCTTAAGATGTCTGTATTGATTAATGACAGGCTTCGCGAAACTGCTGAAAAAATTGCCTGACATTCGGTCAGACAAACTTTCAATTCTTGTCTGACCGAAAGAACTTTTATCTGACCGAATTTTTTTTCCAAATATATGTATATGGTATACTGTGTTCCTCTTAGTTCATGGTACTTAACACTTTAAAACAGTAAAGAAGACAAACAATAAACCTACACTACAAAAACTTTCATAAACTGTATCATTTAGTCATTTTTCTGCTATATGACACAAGGAAACAACAATTTATTCAATCAAAATAAGTTTTAATAAGTCAGATGTAGACCGTGTCTCGGCCATTTTGAAAACAGTATGTCATCATTTAACTCGCGGTAATGGTAATACCTTTGTGTGTTTTTTTTAAAGACATAACAACTTTTAAAGATTTGCAACACAATTTTATTCCCTTAAATAAAACATTAGTTTATCCAGATTGATGGACTCTGTCTGGAAATCAAAACATTCATGATCAATAAAGCGGCCATTTTTCCATTTACCCACAAATTTTCTCGGCGGGCACCTGGAATCGTATTCCTTTTGTTTCGCTTTTTTTTCTTCATTTGATAGTTTATGATTTTTGTATGATATTTGCCGGGGTAACGCCAGCGTAATAATGTAGAAACACCGACAATTTGGTTATTGACAGTCGTATGTATTTAGAATTTGATTGGACACTTATAATGAAACGGCGAATCAAAACTCGTTTTGCACTTTTTTTATTCAAGGGAGAAAACTCGGTCTTGATCAGTCTTGGATATATCCCGGTATTCGTACCGGACATAAGGTCCGGAACTCCGAAAAAAATATCGGACCGGTCTGATTTTTGCCGGACATGTCCGACGGTCCGGCAACTTTCGCGAAGCCTGTAATGATATGCACAATGTTTTAGCGCCGACCAGCCAAAGACCAATCAAAGTTTATTTACTCAATTGTCAGACACTCCCTAGCCAATCGTGTTTGATTAGCTCCATCTTTAAGACTTTTTTAATTGGTTGAAGGCGTGTTCGTAATAATTTATGCACACCTCTATAATTAACTCACACTTTTTCACAAATATATAGTTTTTTTTCCTCCGGAAAGTTATTGCATATTAATTTGTTTTGACCGTTAAAAAACTATAACGACACGCATGTGACGATTTCTTTTGTTTATAAAAACTGTGACTCAAAAGTAAGTAATAGTTAAAAGATCAGGTCTGCATAGTATTTACAGACCCGGACCGAGAGAGCGTTGCGATCAAGGTTTTAAAAGTGTTACCGAGTGCGGTAACTATCTTACCAACATGCTCTTGTTTTTCTAAACAAACTTCAGTTTTGAATTCAGTATTTATTAATACGGGGAAGTCAAAGACCGGGCTTTGGCTTGCCCGACTATAGACTACACGTGTATAATTAAAAGAAAATCAAATAAAAAACAATTAAAAAATATATAGAATTCTATACCTATCAATGAAATTTTCAGTGTCAGTTCTAGTCAGGCGCCGCCATTTACAATGTATGTCAATGATAATAGGCGGGGTATTCCGATAACGGAACAAATCTCAACTTTTCGGATAAGTAATAATAGTCGAGTGTTCCGAGTGAAAACGGAAGCGGTGTATGTAATATCGAATGACACCTTTAAAACGGAAAGAATGAAAGGATTTTTTAACGACTTCCCCGTTCATAGGCTTTGCCTAATTTCATATTATTATTCACAAGAAACTTTTTATGTACTTAATCAGGTTTGAGATCATTAATGGCATTTTCTATGAGTGCGCCTGTCGAGCCCACAGTTGAATTTGTTTTGTGCCGGCAGTCTTTTCAGAGGGTCAATGGCGCAATGGCGCGCTCTAGATTGAACACTGGGTATAGAACAATCTAAAAATAATTGTTTTATCGAAAAATGAAGAATTGGGACATGGATATTTGCAAATGAAAAATAAGGTTAAATCAACGTATGTTATACTGGTAAGGGTTCGTAACTGGTCTAATGCAAAACGTTAATGCCGCATGAGGTGAAAAACAGAAATGTCAAAAAACGTCTAAGCTGGAACATACTATATCCTAGCTTAAGGTCTTCAGCGTACCCGTTTATATAATATGACATGACGTGAACGCTGAAGATAACCCCATAGGGAAAGTCCACCAATAATCGTGACAGGAATCTGACACGCTCGTATTTATTCATCGAACATGCCATGAGTAAAGTGAAGCATACCTTGATAAAACTATATATAATCTGTTGATAAGCCAAGGATGGACAAATAAAAATCTTATTACGAACATAAACTACCTAATAGTTTCCGACAGGTAAAATTTTCGGCACTTGGCCGCCATATTGCCAAAATGTTTGATCACGTGATTACGAGATTGACCTTTATGAACCCATGTGCCTCCAATATTTTTATAAATTACTTTTTTTAAAGATATTGAAAAAGGTGATTTACTGACTTTTATATTCAATACAATCATACTTAAGTACTTGAAAATTAATGAAAATAAATAAAAACATTATCTTGAATAAAAGTATCGAAATCATGTCAACAAAATGTTCTAAATATAGTACACGACTCTATTCAAATCTGTTCCCGCGAATGACGTCATACGAGATCTCGCGTGGCACCTGAATGTCATGGCCAACTGTAGTCGGCGTAAATTGATATTTTACAGTTAAATAGGCAATTTTAATGACGGTATTAATATTTTGATACTTTAATTGGTATAGAATGATATCAAAATGATTGTATTATCGTAAAATGCACAAGAATTGATTGGGTCAAGTGTATTTGCAAGTGAAAAACAAGAATAAATCAACTTATGTTATTCTGGTTAGGTTTCGTAACGGGTCTAATCCAAAACTTTAATGCCGCATCAGATGAAAAACAAAAATGTTAAAAAGCGGCTTATAAAGTTTTGGAAGCCAGAACTAACGATATCCCAGGTCTAAGCCAGAACTAAATAACATGTTTATTTGTTATAAAAAAAAGCCGGCAACTTGTTTCCTCACCTGAATTTACACGTAGTTTCGTTAAATTAGCTCGTACATCTTCATCTTCTTTATGTTTTCTTGAAATATAACTTAAAATTTTACTTTTTGCTTCTTCTTGGACCGAAGAAAAGTCATTTGATTCTAAAATTTTGGAAATCTCCACTTCCATGGGCCCCGCCATTTTGCAGTTGTTGTTGTTGTGGCCGCACTAAATTACTGACGAATTAACGTGACGATACAGAATATCGGTACTCCAAAGACGGTTGACGTTAACAAGGACAAAAGAGTATATATGAATTTTGTATCATAATAAGCAAATAACTATGTTTAAAGAAATTGTCACAATTACTTAGATATAAATATGTTTAAATATACCAAAAAGCTGGGACCAAAAATATAAAAAGGAAAAAAAAGACAATTAAAAAAAATCAAGAATATATATGAGCCGCGTCACGACAAAACCAACATAATGCGTTTGCGACCAGCATGGATCCAGACCAGCCTGCGCATCCGCGCAGTCTGATCAGGATCCATGCTGTTCGCTTACAAACTATATAACAAGTAGAGAAACTGATAGCGAACAACATGGATCCTGATCAGACTGCGCGGATGCGTAGGCTGGTTTGGATCCATGCTGGTCGCAAACCATTTATGTTGGTTTTGTCGTGACGCGGCTCATATACTGTAGCGATGTACATTCCTTTAATAAATTGCTGCAAAATCTTATTAAAAAAATATCCCTTGTGACGAGTAACCTCATTTTTACATATCAGAAATATAACAACATATAATTAAATGATAAGATTCTTAGAATAAAATAAAACAACCTAAAATGAGAAACGACCCTACTATATCTATGAAGGGACATTAAACTGAGTAACCTTTCGGCTTCAAAAAAAAATCGTGGCATAATAATAAATTTATCTTATGCAATGAGGGATGGTAACTTGCACTTTCAAGTACCGTCCATGAACACACTCTTGATGCAATATTTACAATTTTGTCGTTTTGTGCGTTCTCTAGGGATTCAGTTTTTCTCTATTTTAAAAGTTTAAAAACGTTTAAATAACATTAGATTATTATTTGAAACGCTTGTAATAATTTTTAATGAACACAATGCATATAAAACTTTAAAATATATTCTTGGTGTTCACAAAAACTCTGTAAATTATGCTATTCTTGGTGAAACTGGGAGGTAACCCTTATATGCAAACATTTTAACGCAGTCAACAATATACTTTAGTAGGATTTTATGCAAAACCAACTTCATCGTTAAACTCTTCATTTCAAGAAAGCCCATCCTTACATTCAGACAATAAACATAGCTGGGAAACAAGCATGATGTTTGTCCTAGACAAATTAAAAGTAACTACGTATTAGCATGACGTACCATGCTCCTTTGGAAGCTAATTGAATACACTACAAGTGAACGGTTGTGGAACATTCGACAGATGAGCAGGGTATTATGTACAACATCCCAGCAATATCTTTTCCCCGAAAATTGTTAAACGCTGTTCTGTAACTGACTTTAAAATCGATTAGATACACTGTTATTAGGGCGATAGGGGGCGCTTTTACGTACCAACGCGCTTTCTTTAGAAAAATAATGCTGCGAAAGTCAAGCTTACATGCATACCAAACATCATTTAGATCTGAGATGGTCCGATAGAAGACAATTACCTTAAGATAAGTGTTCATAAATTAGAAATAAGAATCGGCTGGTAATGAAATTTAATATATCTGTTGATGATAGTCTTTTTTAGAAAATGTTGTTCATTACAAGATATTGAAACAGAAGAACTCTTTATTGAGATTTTAAAATATCTCTGATAATTTCTACTACATATGAAAATGTTGAAACTTAAAAACACTAGAACATTCTGATATATACTTAGTGTACATAATGTCTAGTCAGAAAATGCCCCGAGGCCTTCCTGCTGAAAATTTGCCATGTCACCTTTACTATTCTTCTTTTTGTATATAAACTATGAATTTTCATAAAAGGTGCTCACCGAGTCCTGCTCCCCTATACCGCAATCATCACACTGGCCATAGCTTTCGCAGAAGCGGTGGGTCTACCGATGCGGCGATGGAGATTTCGTCGCAGAAGCGGTGGAAAAACATGGCTGTCGGATAGTTTTTTGCTGGTGTCGGTAAGTTTATGACTTATTTGTACGTTATGTTTTTATGTTCTACTGATAACACCTAGTGAGACTGGAGCCCACATATGTACTCTTCCAACTAATTACACGCATGGGGTGCAAATCATGACCAGTTATGCAAACACTTCTGTACAGTTTGACGAGGGGACGCCAATTTTGCCTAATTTTGTTTATAACACTACATATGTACTCAAAACTACCCCTAGATACACCGGCATCGCATCGTATGTATGATAATTACACAAAACAACCATATTTTGGAACTTTTGGAAATTGATATTACCATTTTAATAAAAGAATTGACAAAAAATGATTACAACGCAGACGGCGGTGGATTCGATTGCAACGCAGTGCGGTGGGCCCGATATCATTTATGTCTTTTTTTTAACGTTAAAGTGACCGACACTTAGGATTTGAGCTCCAAACACCTAAAAATACAAATGAAATATATATTTGTTAATCCTTACACATACAGTTGTTATATATATCAATGAAAGTAAATATACGCTTTTTTGAAAACAAAATTACAAAATCGGAGTCATTCGTGATAATGGGGGTTCTCATATTCATAGCTAACCTCATTTAAATACAACAGAGCTGAGTGCCACGCTTGAATTTGTTGAAATATTTTGTAAATAAATAAACCGGCGATAGTTAAAAAATTTTCACATAGTGTGTTTGTATATTGAAGATTTTAAAGCAGCACGCCTCAATATTCATGTTTATTTTGATGAAAAGTTTGGAAATGAATTTATGTTTTACTTTTACCACGGTACATGTTTCTCCTTGTTAATTTGTGTCATCCTCAGTAGAGTTAAAATACAAACATAGAAATTTGATTGTTAATGTCTGGCAGAGCCAGACATCTTTATTGTCTAAGAATAGATTATGATATAATCAAAAGATTAACCAGAAACTTCAAATACGCTTTCATATAGAAAACAATTGTAGCAAACGTTATAACAATAGATGACACAAAGTTGGACAACAAAAACCACCAAACTGTCCAACCAAAGGAGGAACGACAGACCGTGAAAGCAACGAAAACGAAAGAGCGACAATTTAAATTCTGACTTAACAATTTACAAACAAAAATATACGATAATTTGAACGCGTGCATGTGCAATTCGCTCATAGGCCAATACACAACATTTTGGTCTACCTTTTTTGTCAGGTATTTTGTTATATTTTATTTCAAAATGCATTCTATACTTTTTTATATTACATGCAGCCTATTTATAGCTTTTTTCACGTTAAATAAAAATTTGATATAATTTAATGTTAACATGTAAAGTTATATTAAAAAAAAATGAAATAAATAAAATAAAAAAATAGATAAAGCAATAAAGCTAAAGTTAGTGTCACTATCAACAGATCTCATCTCATCTCATCTCATCTTATCAATGTATTAAAATTTTATCACAAACTGTTCATAAGTAAAAATGAAGTTCAAAATATATTTATGACCAATGTGTTAGTAATACGTAGTTAATGATGACTCTTGTGTGTTAAACTACAAAAACATTTTGATTTGTTAAATTGATAGATTAAATTCAATATACGAGTTAATGCTATATATTAAATTCAATATACGAGTTAATGCTATATAATTAACATTTCAGCGATACATAGTTAACATACACTTCAATATGTTGAACTAGTGTCCAAACTGGGATTTAATTTATCAAGACATTTTATAAGTTAAATGAATGCATAGTTTATAAAGAAAATACAAACTTTAAGTATTTTTTAATTCAATTTATAAAATAAAATTACCATTTAAGCACTTCATAGTTAACATACACCCCAATATGTTAAACTAGAATCTAAAACATGGATTGTTTATAAAAACATATTGATAAGGTGCATGATGCATAGATTGAAAATAGAAAAAAAACAAGATAATTTAAAAATTAATGTTTACATTATAATTAATTTTTAAACAACCCATACATAGAGGATATTGAATAAGTGTAAGTTCATTACTGAATTTATTGCACTCGCCAGAGGCTCGCATAATATAATTTTATTCAACTTGTGCATAAATTATCACATACCCAAAATAGAGACCGTTAAAAGTGAAATAAGAGTCATTTTTCATTGACGCGCCTATAGTATAACGCTAACATTTAGCGCGTCTTTACACTATGTTAGCATAACGCTAATGACGTCACGTCAAAATATATGCACGGCCGTGCCATACCATATTTACGGAGTCGCAAAATCGGCACGGTTGTGTGAGTTAACATACACCCCAATATGTTAAACTAGTATCTAAAACAGGGATTGTTTTATAAAAACATATTTATTAAAGGTACATGATGCAAAAAAGCGTATATTTACTTCATTGATAACAACTATATGTGTTAGGATTAACAAATATATATTTCATTTGTATTTTTTGGTGTTTGGAGCTCAACTCCTAAGTGTCAGTGACTTTAACGTTAAAAAAAAGACCTAAATGATATCGGGCCCACCGCACTGCGTTGTAATCGAATCCACCGCCGTCTGCGTTGTAATCATTTTTTGTCAATTCTTTTATTAAAATGGTAATATCAATTTCCAAAAGTTCCAAAATATGGTTGTTTTTTGTAATTATCATACATATTATGCGATGCCAGTGTATCTAGGGGTAGTTTTGAGTACATATGTAGTGTTATAAACAAAATTAGGCAAAATTGGCGTCCCCTCGTCAAACTGTACAGAAGTGTTTGCATAACTGGTCATGATTTGCACCCCATGCGTGTAATAAGCTGGAAGAGTACATATGTGGGCTCCAGTCTCACTAGGTGTTATCAGTAGAACATAAAAACATAACGTACAAATAAGTCATAAACTTACCGACACCAGCAAAAAACTATCCGACAGCCATGTTTTTCCACCGCTTCTGCGACGAAATCTCCATCGCCGCACCGGTAGACCCACCGCTTCTGCGAAAGCTATGGCCAGTGTGATCATATCAAATACATGTCGGTAGACTATGAAAGAAGTCGCCAGCATGGGCGTTGACCGGTGCAGATTTTTGTATATTAAATCTGAATATTCATAAAACACCTTAACTCATTCCACAATGTGCCCGCGTGCTATTGCATGGACGTTGACCGTTGCGGCACACTATATGAATATTCATAAAAAACGCCTTGAAACTCATTCCGTACGTAGCTCATCGTGACTTACCCTAAGGTCCGATTCCGCTGAAGATTTGCCCGTGCAATAGCTTCGAGAATCTCCTTTAACTAATTTTTTTATGGTTTTATATTATTAATATGATGCTCAAATGAAAATTTACCAATATTGTAAGTTCAAAAAAAGCATTATTTGTAAAGATATTACCGAATTTACATTTATGTAAGTAAAGGGAGGCAATTAGAAATTAATTTTCGATAAAGTCTAAGCCAAATTTTTCAATAAGAAATGAATGCATACATTTTAATGATTACATATAGTGCGAGTATAAGCATTTGCTGTACATATTTTACATATTCTTGGATGTTTGGAAATGGCTTAAGAAGAATAATTATATACATGTATAAAATTTCACTTTTTTCGTGCGTTCGGCGACATTGTTTGCTAATATATAAGTTCTGCGTATTTTGGTGACGTTTATTCCTTCTTCGGGATGTCACCATCATCTTCCAGGTGTTGCGATTTCGTTTTAAAAATTGTCAAAGCAAAAGCTTATATATAGAAGTTTTCCACTACGACAATATAAGATGCTCGTATGGCATGAGCGCAAGCCGACTTGCGGGTCATCAATAGTGAATGATTGTGCCATTTTCGAACGGAAAAAAACATCGAAAGGTAGAAAACTTAAGTACGACAAATCTGTTTGTCTAAAAACACTTTAACGATAACACATGGCGTGTATTGGCCACCATAGTTTTAATGCACAGGTTTTACAGTAGTGCTTAAGCTGGTTTTCACTTATCTTGTCTTTATACCGCTGCAGGTTTATCTTAAACATGAAGGGTCAATGTGTAATATTACCATGTCTGGCCTATTTAATAGTGTATTTACACATATATAGAAACTCCAACCCAGCTGTGTTATCTGTTTATTATACACACTACTGAAATAACATATTTTCGTATAAGTAACCTTGTACGGATACAAACTTTATTCGTAGTGAAAAATGTCGACCCCTATTACAGAGGCAAGTAACAGTATTACAGAAGAGATAGATGTGGCGTCGCCTTCAGGTAAATATACTTTTTTTATGCACAATACGTGTATTTGTAATCAATTTGAAACTGTCATATATGTAATTACACGTAGTTAATGATTAACATGATGGCTGTTAATTGATTGTTATTCTGCTATTCAAATGCATCGTTTAACTACATGTTACTGTATTCAAACTTATTTTAATCCTGTCACAATGATAATGTTGCATGGATAAACTTACGTATAACTTATTATAATATATCATAACTAAATGTAACAAAAATCTTATTGTAATTTATAATTAGGCATGGCATGACTAACTGCATTTCAAAAGAAAAAACTACGGTGTTACGTTAGGGCTATCGCTTTGAATAAAGGAATTTAAAACTCGAAAAAGTCAAAAACGATCTCGAAAACATCAAGGGACGATGGCGAAAACAAGATGACGAAAACTCGACAAAATTCAAGGTCTTCGCGTTTTCGCCTTCATCCCTTTAGTACAGTCCCTGGGGACCTTTTGTGTGCAAGAAAAGGTCCATTTATGAATGTTATACCAATGTTAAGTTAAATGTTTGAAGTTTGCAAAAAAATTTGGTAGACATGTCAAATCATGGTACTTTTTGAGAAATCCAAGATGGCCGCCAAATTATTGAAAAATGGCTAATACGCAATTTATATGATAAAATTAGTTCTTTTTTGTATTTATTTTGGTACAGGTGATGTTAAAACTTCACATCCTATTGGAACAATATGAAAAAGGGTCCTTTTCCATTTTCTTATACATATACTCTTGTTTTCATAGAGAAATTTTGCTAAAAAAGCATGAAAAAGTATCAAAAATCGACATGGGGCTGGCATTTTTTCCTATCAGTCGAGGCATAGTGGTGAAAATGAATATTTTTACCATATATTACAAAGACCTGATCAACAACTTACTAATTGTACCCTTATTTTTATTTTTATTGTGTAAGAATGTGAATTCTGACATTCCTAAAGTGGGTGGGGTACACGAAAATTGAGTCCCAATTTCTAGTGAACTGATATATAACGATTATAAAGACTAAGAATAACCAATAAGATTACATTTTGAAATGTTCTTAAGTCTTTCTTTTTTTAAAGGTAGATTTGCATTCTACCAAGAACATTAATTGGTTCTGTTGCCATGGCAAAATAGTGGTAAAATGAGAGAAACCCGGAAACGTATTCATGAGGCTTTCAGTTTTATATTTTCAATCATGTTGTAGAAGTTAATGTATTGATTATGCATTACAGAATTCAGAGTTGGATACATTTGAAACATAAAAAAATCAAATTTCACTACGCTGGGCCGCCAACTTCACACATCTAATTTCACTTCATTTACTTTCCATGAAAAAACACAAATTTGAATTAAAACATCGGTAACATTTTGCTGAACCGTTACTGTAACAATAAAAATGCTTAAAGTTTTAGAGGCAAAAGATAATATTGAAATCTACTCAGAGTTATATTGAAAAATAAAATTTATGCTTGATGTTTGGCCAGATTTGTTAAAAGAAACTTTTCAACATTCTTCATTTATTGGTCATTTAATAATTATAATAATAATAGATAACAAATGAAGCAGAAAAATCCCAATGATCAAATGTGATAAGAAGGAAGAGACAATATGTCAATATGTTGTGATGAAGAACGTCTTCAAGATAATGTGCCATGGATGCATCTGGAAAACCTAAATGATTGTGTTCTCATCTCAATGCAATACAAGCCCAGCTGATAAATATTTTAACAGTTGGAGAAACATGGATAAAATCACCATTTTGTGTTAGAAATTTGACACTTTCTTCTATTCTAAAAAAAATATAGAGCAGCATAAATTATAAATCCTGTATAGATGTCTTGCTACGCAAAACAAATAGGCCATATTCCACCGTTGCCTCAAAATTCTTTATAAATTATTTTGTGACCTACAGGTCAGACCACCTAATGCTTTGTTATACGGTCAGTATGTCTTAAATCATCATCAACAAACTCCTGGCTGTTCACCACATGACAGCTTGTCTTATTACCAATTTTAATGTTTTTGGCCATTGACTAAAATTAAAATACTTGCGAATGATGACCCTCAGATCACAAGACAGTTATATAAATGATTTAAATCTGTCAGATTTTTTTTATAAAAAGATATCAAAATTCGATTATTTTGTAAACATTTTTATTGCACAAAAAATATTCATTCTGGAAGTCGGAATACAGTCAAAAATGTGAAGTTGTCCTTATAGTTTTAGACAGGTCCTTTGGTCCAGGGCACCTGTTTCTGTTTATTTTTCGAGTTATTTTTTTGTCTCATAGAGTTTTTTAATAATTAGTGAAAGTATCGATTAAAAAAAAATGAATCCATAATCGATTTACAAAAACTGTCACTGATACATCGATATCATTTCTTTCGGCTCTACGGTACCGACTTCCCATTTAAGGTAGTACACCCCTAATGCACTGTCTCCACTTTGAAGAGTATTCAAATAGGCTAAAATCACTGCAAAGTGTATTGTAACTGAGGGGGCGTGGGTTCAAACCCCAGAAGAGGCAATTTTTTTTCTTTCTTTTTTTTTCTTTTTAACATTTTTTATTAATCTCTCAGACCCCCTATGGAAGAAAAAAGTGTTTTATTTTAATTATATAATTATTGTAGGTATTTATTTACTAAATAATGCCAAATTTAATAGCAAATATGATACCAGATATTTTCAAAGTTTAATAAAATAAAAACTAAACTGTAAAAGTATTTTATATTTTGCAAGACCAACCAATATACATTAAAGAAAATTTAGGCAAACTTTGAAAATAGCCCCTCATTTTGGAAAATTTTAGGGATATTTTAAATAAGGCTTTTTATATAGGGAAATGGTCAAATTAGTGTTAAAAGTGGGTGGGGTAGGGTTACATTTTTATACATATTAAAAACATTTCGTTTAAAAACAATAATTTTGCTTGTTTAATTTGTTACCTAAATGTCAATATTTATTTCTTAACAATGAGCAAAAGGGTTACATTTTTCATAATGATGATATTACAGATTATTTAGAGTTTCCTCATGTCTGAAAAAATCCCTTCTAATGGCAAAGTTTTAGTTCATAAAAATGTCCGTAACTCATTAACCACACGGTAAATTTTGTTTAAATTTTGCATACAGGTGACATTTAAGGCATATAACTGTCCTATGTTGTCAAATTTACAATTCCTTATAGTGCCCATTAGGGGTGTACTACCTTAAGGGTATTTGGGGGAAGTAATTTCATGTAAGTTTCATCTGAGACTAATTGTTATCTTTCTGTCCCAAGTTCAATTGCTTGTTTTTAAAGCCCTTTTCAACAGTTTATAGGTTATATAAGGGGTAGTTTCCTGACCATCGTTCCTGGAAAGTTACACAGTAGTCTACTTAACATTTTTTCATGCCTTGTGAGATTGATTTTTTTATTAAGCATAATTTCATGATTGTGAAAATATGTTTACTTAGTATTTTGTTATTATCCTCAGTCTTAATTCAAAGTTGTCATTCATTTGCGTGACATGGTAATTTTACGTTTCTGAACAAAAGAGGTTGTTTATCAGTAAGATTTTTTAATTGAAAGTTTTGCTAATACTTTTGTCCAAAATTATATTTCATTTTATTTTTGCGTTTGTTTGAACGATAGTAGATATGTCATTGCCTCTGTCGGCCCTGTGCCTTAAAAGATCACTGGATACCTGCAGTAAGGAGTAAAAGTCAGGCTTGACCCAGTTTCATAACATTGTGAAAATATTGTTGTTTTTTGTTCATCTTACAGTAACTGATGTAGTGTTTTGTCAAATTGTAGTGGGTTTTTGGTGTGCGTTTGGAATCATGAAGTGTATTTTTAAGTCAAACACATCCACACACACGCACGCACGCACGCACGCACGCACACACACACACACACACACACACACAAAACAACAACAAAATCGCCGTATATTTACTTATTGACGCATAGCGAAATATATTTTAAATATTATTGTTTTTAAACTTTGCATAATGACTGAAAATGAAGTGTCAAATAATAATTTGTATCGGTATATATAATAAAATTTTCAATTAGGGGCCCAACAACTTAAAACAAGTATCAAAATAATTTAGTTAAACCAGCCTAAAAAGTAGAAAATAACGAATGTGAGAAGTTAGCAGTGAACAGTGAGCTAATAAAAAAGGCATTTCAATTTATATAGGGAAGGTAATAATCTGCTGTAATGCTCAGCTGTTTTGGGCATCTAGCAGGGCATTCCTAAATATAGTGTAAAAATGCTCTGCTGCAATACTCAGCTGTCTTGGCAATCTAGCAGAGCATTCCTAGCTTTAGTGAAAAAATGCTCTGCTGGAACGCTCAGCTGGAGATAATGACATTTCTGACTTTTGGGGAACCGCCAGAGTACATTTCTTGGGTCTGCGACTGATTCCTTGAGACTCGCAGACCGCAGACTTTCAGGATGTTTAGTGCCATTGCAGATCATGACTTTTTTACTAAGGACCCCTTAGTCATAAGCAGAGCATTTTTACCCTAAAATGTCATTATCTGCATTAGCACCAAAAATTCCTGAAAGTCTGCAAGTGCCCAATAATCAGTCGCAGACTAACGAAAAAGACTCTGGATGGTCAAAAATGTCATAAATTGTAATTATCTCTATTGGCACCAACAATTCCTGAAAGTCTGTGACTATCCAAGATTAAGTCGCAGACCAAAAAAATGGACCCTGGATGGTCCCTAGAAGCAAAAAATGTCATTATCTGCCTTGACATAAAAAATTCCTGAAAGTCTGTGAGTGTCTCAGAATCAGTCGCAGACCAAAAAAATGGATTCAGAAAGGTCCCAATAAGTCAGAAATATCATTTTCTGCATTGACACCAAAAATCCTGAAAGTCTGCGAGTGACTCAGAATCAGTCGCAGACCAACGAAATAGACTCAGGAGGGTCCTTTTGAAGTAAAAATGTCATTATCTCCCTTGGCACCGAAAATTTCTGAAAGTCTGCGATTGTTACAG